AGAAGCCACGGCTGTCTGCAGCATAAGATGCACACAGAGCTTTAAGGCAATACAGCGATACAGGTGTCAAAACAACACCCAAAATGCCCATCCGAATGAAATCGGCCCCTGTACTATTCACAGCCAGCCGTTTCAGAAAGGGCTGCGACAGGGAGCCCATAAACCCTAAACCCTGACAACTTCAAAGAAACTGGGAACTCCTTGGCGGCGTAGCCTTGCGGTGAACATGCAGAAATCCTCAGCCACCAGTTCCAAACTCCTTGTTTTTGGGGTTTTAAGGTTTAGGGTGTAGGGTTTTAGGGTTTAGAGTTGAGGGCGAGGGTTTTGGGGTTTGGGGGTTTTAGGGTTGGTGTAGGATTTAGGATTTAGGATTTAGGAGTTAGGATTTAGGATTAGGGTTTTAGGGTTTAGAGTTGAGGGTCCGGCCAAGAGGGGGTTTGCAATCCCAAGGACAAGTTTCCAGCCTTTTCCGGACGACTGTGAGTCGAAGAACAGAAGGGCAGACTGGAGGCGGGCCCTAAACCCTAAACCCTAAACCCTCAACCCTAAACCCTAAACCCTAAACCCTAAGTTCAAGGACCGAGGAGTTTGGGGTTCAGGGTTTTAGGGTTGAGGCGTTTAGTGTGTTTTTAGGCTTGAGGGGTTAGGGGTTTACGGCAAAATATCAGACTTTCCAAGTACCCCGGACATGTTGTGACGTTTAAACCCTAAACCCTTGTAGTACCCATATACAGAACCCTCACCGTACCCCTTTTATAGTAGCCTTGTAGCGTGCTTATAGTACCCAAATACAGAGAGAGGCCTTACAGCATCGTCTTAAAGCTCAGCCCTAAAACCTCAACCCTGAGCCTTAAACCCTAAGCCTCAAGACAGCTCCACAGCCTAGAAAACTGCACTGTGTTGCGATTCCGGGCTCCCAAATTCGCGCCTAGAAATCGCCTGAAATAATCGACACCACATGTTTGGTTTAGGGTTTAGGGTCGAGGGTCTAGTGTTCAGGGATTTGTCACGAACCTGGCGCAGCCACTGCAGCATCCCAAAGCCGAAACAGTGTGACGGGACCTGCACTTGGCAGCCAGGTCGACCCTTGGTGGTTGAGTGGTAAAGGGGTTTACGGACTTGCGGGTTTTTTGGGCTTTTGGGCTTTTTGGGCTTTGAGGCTTTTGGGATGTAGGGTCGGGGTTTCGGGTTTAGCATGAGTGGTAAAGGGGTTTAGGGCTTCTAGGGCTTTCGGGATCTAGGGGTTGGGGTTTCTTGCTAGCTGAGTGGTATCCTGTTTGCCCTTTGTGGGTTACAGTCACGAACACCAAAGAAGGGTACCTGGATTCTCATACGGTTACTTGGCTACCAAGGACCATGGAGGAAGTGAGCTTCGATGCTCCGATGGTGCCCGGGCTGCAGGCTGCTCAGCCTGGGTTGCAGGCGACCCAGCCCGCCTGCTCAAGGACACATGAGGGGTTTACGAAGTAGTCGGATTGTCGTTTCATAAGGTACCCTAATTCCGGAAACCACCACATGTTTCGGGACATCGCCTTTCTTACTCTGGGGGCTATTTTTGTATTAGACAATTGTGTCCCTAAACCCTAAACCCTAAACCCTGTGAGAACAGAGAGCAGCGTCAGGCCCTGGGCTGCGCCCACTCCCCAGGCCATGCCGGCCGCACCCCCACCGAAACTTTGCCATACTTGGGTACCATTGTTTATTTTTTGAGGGTACTTAAAACCCAACAAGAATAATAATTTAATTTTTTATATACCATACTTGGGTACCATTTTACATTTTTTGAGGGTACTTAAACCCAATAAGAATGATAACTTAAAATTTTTGATACTATCCCAACCATGAGAACTAGGAAACCAAGACCGCTCGGACCTTTGGATGAATTCCTTGCTGCCCCCGCCACACCTGCTTCAAGCGAGAGTACAGCCGAGCTCGTAATGGCTCGTGTGGCCAAGATAGGCAAGGTCCACATGACTTTCTATCCCGGCGGTGGCGACGAATGGGAGGAAGATGAGGCAGTCAGCAATTTTCTCACGACAGGCAGGCCGAAGTTTTGCAAGATGCAATGCACTTCGCACACGGAGCGTCTCCAACTCGCATTGTTGGACCAAAAGCACGGAATGGACGCAGCTTTCCTCAATGCAAAAGAGAAGTCCTTCCTGGATGCATTGAACGAGGATGAAAAGCGCAGAATGTTCTCTCTCACAGACGAGGACATGGAGAGCTTGGACGAAACAAAGGAAGGCGAAGACATCAAAATGCCAAGCTTGCCATCTTCGTCCTCGTCGGCAAAGAAGAAGACGCGCCCCTACCCTTTGTCAGAGCCTGTGGAGATGCCGTGGGAGGTAGCAGACATCATCAAGGACACTCTGAGCCGGCTCTTCAAATTTCAGTAGTCGGCCTCGGTTGGACAGTAAGGACAGCGCAATCTAACACGTCCCGCCTCGGCTGGTCTTGGTAGTCGATGGTGGCTGTAGACTCGGGGGGTAGGGGGACAGAGCAGTGCTGGGGGATGTTGTGCATGGTGTAAAGTACAGTTGCAGGCCCCCTACTACCGAGAGATCGGACCTGTGTCCTGAGCCGCCGACGACAAGCGTGACCCGCGCAGTCATTCTGATTCGGGCACCTGCATTGGGAAAACGAGAGATTAAGACAGAAACTAGCAGAGGCATGTCCCACAAAGTCAGTCCTTGGAGGGCCTTGTGTTCGATGAATTCGTTTGTTGTCGACGAAGATGGGATGGCCTTGGTTATCGCAATGTGTCCTTGCACCGGTACAGGAGCTCTGTCGCCCTGTCTGACTCTAAGGGTTTAGGGTTTACAGTAGGGTCAGTAGGGGGTTGTGCTCGGATCCGGATTTGTGCAAGGACTTTCGCAACAACTGAGGCTCTCCTTTAATTCTGTCGTGCATTGCCGAAGGGCCTTTGAACCGGCCCAGTCATGACGGAATATCGCTACTGCAGCAACCCTGAGCCCAAAATCCTCAGTGGTAGCTTCGCACGTCTTCGCTGGACCATTTCTCAATCACTTGTATCCGAAGACAGAATATCACTACTGCAGCAGCCCTAAACCCTCCGCGGCAGCTTTCTATACGTCTTCGCTGGGCCCTCTTTTTTTAAATTCTAGGATGCCCAGTAGTGCCCTTATTCCCATTTTGGGGGCTCTAGGTTCCCCTATAAACCCCTTTAGGCAAAAAAGGGCACCCTTTTTAGTCCTAGGCTACTGGGCAACCTAGAACTGGAGTCGACGAATGGATGGGGCCTACAGACCTTGGCGGTCTACAGGTCTATCGGGCTGATGTTCAGAGCAGAACTGGATCTGTAAACCCGAACAGACTCTAAACCCTAAACCCTAAACCCTAAACCCTAAACCCTAAACCCTAAACCCTAAACCCTAAACCCTATGCAAACCCTAAACCTCCTACCAGTCTTGCAGACTAAGCATTTTTCAGCTCTGGGCACCCCACATCACAGTCCCAAGGGCGCTCTCAACGGCGCTCTAGGCAGGGTTGCGAGTCACACAGGAGCCGATGGCTCCATCAATTCTGCCCTATAAAACGGTACCTGAACATCTTTTTGTTGACGCTGAACAGTTGCACCCAGCCACTTGTGCAAAGAAATATTGCAGTTGCAGTTGTTGGGGATCCTGGTTTGGGTGGTTTTGCAAAGGGAGCTCTTTTTTCGTGTCGACATGCGTCTGCCCATTCTTCGTGTTGTTATGTTTAATTGGGGGGGGGGGGCTTAGGGTATGCTTCTGATGCACCAATGTAGTGGCCTTGAGAGGTTTTAGGGCTTTACGGTTTTAATTAGGGTTTTAGGGTTGAGGGGTGGAGGGTTTAGGTTTCTGTAGAATCCAGACCTCTCCTGGGGGCAGGGGCTTTTGCGATTTGTCTGTATTGCTGTTGGTTGTTGCTGTTGTTGGGGGGGCTTGCGCGAAGAGTCGTAGGGCGTGTGGTCGAGACAGGGCAGCCCGAATTCCCGTCTAAGCTGCGTATGAACGCGGCAAGGAGCAGACCTCCAGCCAAAGCCACAGGATAAGTTTGGGGATACCAAGTACCCTCTTAGGGTGGGTTCTAAGCTCCCGGTAAGCCATAAGCCCTAGATCTTTATGAGGTTTAGGCTTGGGTGTGTCCCCACCCAAATCCTTGTACCACGATAGCAGGCCGTGTTGCTTTGGGGACTTCAGGACTTGAGGCTCTTGAGGTTTTAGGGTTTATGGCTTTCGGGGTTTGAGGGTTTAGGGCTTTGTGGGGGGGGATTCCAGGATCTCGGGGGCTTATCGGATTTAAGGCCTGGTTTTGCCTGAGGATTTAGGACTTTCAGGCTCTTAGGGGTTTCAGGACATGGGCGTAGGATTCCAAACCTACATTAGAGCCTTGTTACCTGGTTACTTAGGGTCTAGGGTTTAGGGTTTAGGGGAGGGCGAGGGGGCGGGTGAGGGGGGAGGGCGGGGAGAGGGGAAGGCGGGGGGCAAGGGGGAGGAGGTCCGGGGAGCATCTGTTTATGCTGTCCAGACAGCTACGTAAAACCTAAAGCCCCAGCCCCCGATTTCCTGAAATTCTCGAAAGAACAGCCAATAATCGACACCACATGTTTGGTTTAGGGTTTAGGGTTTAGGGTCGAGGGTCGAGGGTCTAGTGTTCGAGGATTTGTCACGAACCTGGCGCAGCCACTGCAGCATCCCAAAGCCGAAACAGTGTGACGGGACCTGCACTTGGCAGCCAGGTCGACCCTTGGTGGTTGAGTGGTAAAGGGGTTTAAGGACTTTCGGGTTTTTTGGGCTTTTGGGCTTTTTGGGCTTTGAGGCTTTTGGGATGTAGGGTCGGGGTTTCGGGTTTAGCATGAGTGGTAAAGGGGTTTAGGGCTTCTAGGGCTTTCGGGATCTAGGGGTTGGGGTTTCTTGCTAGCTGAGTGGTATCCTTTTTGCCCTTTGTGGGTTACAGTCACGAACACCAAAGAAGGGTACCTGGATTCTCATACGGTTACTTGGCTACCAAGGACCATGGAGGAAGTTGTCTTTGATGCTCCGATGGTGCCCGGGCTGCAGGCTGCTCAGCCTGGGTTGCAGGCAACCCAGCCCGCTTGCTCAAGGACACATGAGGGGTTTACGAAATAGTCGGATTGTCGTTTCATAAGGTACCCTAATTCCGGAAACCACCACATGCTTCCGGACATCGCCTTTCTTACTCGGGGGGCTATTTTTGTATTAGACAATTGTGTCCCTAAACCCTAAACCCTAAACCCTAAACCCTAAACCCTGTGAGAACAGAGAGCAGCGTCAGGCCCTGGGCTGCGCCCAATCCCCAGGCCATGCCGGCCGCACCCCTACCGAAACTTTGCCATACTTGGGTACCATTTTTTTATTTTTTGAGGGTACTTAAAACCCAACAAGAATAATAATTTAAATTTTTAATATGCCATACTTGGGTACCATTTTACATTTTTTGAGGGTACTTAAACCCAATAAGAATGATAACTTAAAATTTTTGATACTATCCCAACCATGAGAACTAGGAAACCAAGACCGCTCGGACCTTTGGATGAATTCCTTGCTGCCCCCGCCACGCCTGCTTCGAGCGAGAGTACAGCCGAGCTCGTAATGGCTCGTGTGGCCAAGATAGGCAAGGTCCACATGACTTTCTATCCCGGCGGTGGCGACGAATGGGAGGAAGATGAGGCAGTCAGCAATTTTCTCACGACAGGCAGGCCGAAGTTTTGCAAGATGCAATGCACTTCGCACACGGAGCGTCTCCAACTCGCATTGTTGGACCAAAAGCACGGAATGGACGCAGCTTTCCTCAATGCAAAAGAGAAGTCCTTCCTGGATGCATTGAACGAGGATGAAAAGCGCAGAATGTTCTCTCTCACAGACGAGGACATGGAGAGCTTGGACGAAACAAAGGAAGGCGAAGACATCAAAATGCCAAGCTTGCCATCTTCGTCCTCGTCGGCAAAGAAGAAGACGCGCCCCTACCCTTTGTCAGAGCCTGTGGAGATGCCGTGGGAGGTAGCAGACATCATCAAGGACACTCTGAGCCGGCTCTTCAAATTTCAGTAGTCGGCCTCGGTCGGACAGTAAGGACAGCGCAATCTAACACGTCCCGCCTCGGCTGGTCTTGGTAGTCGATGGTGGCTGTAGACTCGGGGGTAGGGGGACAGAGCAGTGCTGGGGGATGTTGTGCATGGTGTAAAGTACAGTTGCAGGCCCCCTACTACCGAGAGATTGGACCTGTGTCCTGAGCCGCCGACGACAAGCGTGACCCGCGCAGTCATTCTGATTCGGGCACCTGCATTGGGAAAGCGAGAGATTAAGACAGAAACTAGCAGAGGCATGTCCCACAAAGTCAGTCCTTGGAGGGCCTTGTGTTCGATGAATTCGTTTGTTGTCGACGAAGATGGGATGGCCTTGGTTATCGCAATGTGTCCTTGCACCGGTACAGGAGCTCTGTCGCCCTGTCTGACTCTAAGGGTTTAGGGTTTACAGTAGGGTCAGTAGGGGGTTGTGCTCGGATCCGGATTTGTGCAAGGACTTTCGCAACAACTGAGGCTCTCCTTTAATTCTGTCGTGCATTGCCGAAGGGCCTTTGAACCGGCCCAGTCATGACGGAATATCGCTACTGCAGCAACCCTGAGCCCAAAATCCTCAGTGGTAGCTTCGCACGTCTTCGCTGGACCATTTCTCAATCACTTGTATCCGAAGACGGAATATCACTACTGCAGCAGCCCTAAACCCTCCGCGGCAGCTTTCTATACGTCTTCGCTGGGCCCTCTTTTTTTAAATTCTAGGATGCCCAGTAGTGCCCTTATTCCCATTTTGGGGGCTCTAGGTTCCCCTATAAACCCCTTTAGGCAAAAAAGGGCACCCTTTTTAGTCCTAGGCTACTGGGCAACCTAGAACTGGAGTCGACGAATGGATGGGGCCTACAGACCTTGGCGGTCTACAGGTCTATCGGGCTGATGTTCAGAGCAGAACTGGATCTGTAAACCCGAACAGACTCTAAACCCTAAACCCTAAACCCTAAACCCTAAACCCTAAACCCTATGCAAACCCTAAACCTCCTACCAGTCTTGCAGACTAAGCATTTTTCAGCTCTGGGCACCCCACATCACAGTCCCAAGGGCGCTCTCAACGGCGCTCTAGGCAGGGTTGCGAGTCACACAGGAGCCGATGGCTCCATCAATTCTGCCCTATAAAACCGTACCTGAACATCTTTTTGTTGACGCTGAACAGTTGCACCCAGCCACTTGTGCAAAGAAATATTGCAGTTGCAGTTGTTGGGGATCCTGGTTTGGGTGGTTTTGCAAAGGGAGCTCTTTTTTCGTGTCGACATGCGTCTGCCCATTCTTCGTGTTGTTATGGGTAATTGGGGGGGGGGGCTTAGGGTATGCTTCTGATGCACCAATGTAGTGGCCTTGAGAGGTTTTAGGGTTTTACGGTTTTAATTGGGGTTTTAGGATTGAGGTTTTAGGGTTGAGGGTTGAGGGTTTTAGGGTTGAGGGGGGAGGGTTTAGGTTTCTGTAGAATCCAGACCTCTCCTGGGGGCAGGGGCTATTGCGATTTGTCTGCATTGCTGTTGGTTGTTGCTGTTGTTGGGGGGGCTTGCGCGAAGAGGCGTAGGGCGTGTGGTCGAGACAGGGCAGCCCGAATTCCCGTCTAAGCTGCGTATGAACGCGGCAAGGAGCAGACCTCCAGCCAAAGCCACAGGATAAGTTCGGGGATACCAAGTACCCTCTTAGGGTGGGTTCTAAGCTCCCGGTAAGCCCTGAGCCCTAGATCTTTATGAGGTTTAGGCTTGGGTGTGTCCCCACCCAATCCTTGTACCACGATAGCAGGCCGTGTTGCTTTGGGGACTTGAGGCTCTTGAGGTTTTAGGGTTTATGGCTTTCGGGGTTTGAGGGTTTAGGGCTTTGTGCGGGGGGATTCCAGGATCTCGGGGGCTTATCGGATTTAAGGCCTGGTTTTGCCTGAGGATTTAGGACTTTCAGGCTCTTAGGGGTTTCAGGACATGGGCGTAGGATTCCAAACCTACATTAGAGCCTTGTTACCTTAACTTTCTAAGGTACTTGTAACCCCACCTCTAGCTACCCATGGACCTTCGAGTACATCCTAAACCCTGTGGGGTTTAAAAGCCGGGGTGCAACGTTTCCTCTCAAGTCTTAGCTCAGAAATATATGCCTTGAATTGCCTGAAACTTCACAGGAGTCCTGATTTTGGAGTAAGGTAACATATTCCTAAATTCAGGGTTATACAGATCGTGAGCGCCTCGATTCCTAGCATGTTCTGGTTGTCATCAAAACCCATCTAGCAAAACCCTAGCACTTCACGGGTATCAGAACAGCTTTGGCTGTTGTAGGGTTGGGGTATATTAGTGCAAAGTTTAGGTTTTAGTACTTAACCCTAAACCCTAAACCCTAAACCCTAAACCCTAAACCTTAAAAGCAGTTGCCTTGCAAGGTGCCTCTGTGGGTGGTGCGGGCCATTTGCGGCCACCCGCCAAAGACGAGCCCACATCGTGCACGCCAGGGTTTAGGGTTTAGGGCGGTTTGGGGTTTAGGATTTAGGGTTTAGGGTTTAAGGTGTAGGGTTTAGGGGTCTAGGGTTTAGGGTGTAGGGTTTAGGGTTTAGGGTTTTGGGGGCTTGCAGGGTCCTAAAGTGGACCGGAGCCCTTGCCACCGAAAGTTTTCCGGCCCCTGCCTTTGCAGTGCGGAAGCGCCGCTGCGTGGCCTTGTCGTTTAACAAAAAGCTACTATTTGCTTAAGAACCCCAAAAGAATCAAAAGCAATAACCCCTATTTTAACCTTTTTTTTCGGGGTTCTTAAGCAATTAGTAGAAAGCAGCACTGACACCTCAATGTTGAACCCTGTTTAGTGTGGGCCCCCCCCCCCCTCTGAACAGTCGAGGCTGGATTTTGCCCTGTTTAAACGGGCCCGGGGTTTTTCATTTTTATAGGGAGGAGTTCAGATAGATGTACAAGGGATCCATATGACTTTAAACGGGATGAGATTATCTCACTTTAAAAGGGATCCATATGGTTTTACAAGGGATGAGCTTATATGAATTTCAAAGGGATCCATATGAATTGAAAAGGGATGAGCTTATGTGAATTCAAAAGGGATCCATGTGAATTTAAGAGGGATGAGCTTATATGAATTCAAAAGGGATCCATATGAATGTAAAAGGGATGAGCTTATATGAATTTAAAAACGGATCCGTGCGAATCGAAAAGGGATCCGGGACGAGTTTGTATGAATTTACAAGGGATCCATACCCTAAACCCTAAATCCTAAACCCTAAACCCTAAACCCTAAACCCCAAACCCTAAACCCTAAACCCTAAACCCTATTCGGAGCCTCCGGGTCGGGGCCTTGACATACAACAGGGTCCCAAATGAGTGCCATTGTTCGCGGCCGAAGGGGGCTCCTGGACCACCCCCCCTTGTCGGATTGAACGAAACCAATTTTTCAAATAGCTTCTTGAAGGGAATTAATGGTTTCGGGCCGGTTGGAATGGATGAGGTCGACCTTTGAAACCACAAGGTCCGGCTTTTGAATCACAAGGCCCGGCTTTAAGCCAAGAGACCAGAGTCTCCGGGGCGAAACAGGCCCCAAATCCTTAAGAAAAAATGCCGGGTTTCGGGAACCCGTTTGACTTTAAAGATGGTCTCCCAAGCAGTCAGGGTGTCCTGACTAAAACAGCCAAACTGACTTTATAGAGGAGGCCCCTACTAAACCAGGTCCAGCATTAACTGGGTCATTGTTGAAGATCGTTTTTGCATTTTATGAATACTTAAACACCTTAAACATAAGGAACAAAATTGATCATTTTCAAATAGTGCCCCAACAAGGGTGCAGGATTCATGTGTTGTTTCCTTAGTAGCCCAGTGGTACCCTTTTTTCCCCCTTTCTTGTTCAAGGTTCCCTTTTAAAGTAGCTAACTCCCAAAAAGGGTACCCTTACTATGATATGGCTGATATGGTTACTGGGCTACCAAGTTTCTTGAGCTCGCGTCACGTTTGGGTTGATAATTGAGGCTTCAAAGGCTCAAGCATACCTACGCCAAAGCCTCCAGTGACCCCAAGTAGGCGCGATGCCCCTTTTTACACCACGTGCACTTGTGTGGCACAGACTCATGGCCAGGGAACCCTGGGAGGAACCCTGGAAGACACTCTCTACGGGCAGTTTCATGGGCCCTTAATACGGTCCCTTACCTCCTTTAAAGGGCTCTGCATTATGGGCTTTTGGGTTGTCTGGCGAATAGAAGGTCTATATAAGGGGTTCCTTACTAAGGGACCATGTCCCTACCTTTAGAATTCTGTGGGGGGGGGGGGGTCTTGGGTGTTCAGGGGGACTTTGGGGCATTCTAGGGTTGAACCCAGAGGCCACAAACCCTGACAGCCACGCAGATGTTCTATCCAAGATGTGGACAAATCAACCCCTCAAACCTGGGGTTTAGGGTTTATGGTTTAAGGTTTGGGGTTTAGGGTTTAGGGTTTAGGGTTAGGGTTTAGGGTTTAGGGTTTAGGGTTTAGGGTTTAGGGTTTAGGGTTTAGGGTTTAGGGTTTAGGGTTTAGGGTTTAGGGTTTAGGGTTAGGGTTTAGGGCGCCCTTAATTGGAGCAGAAACTCTGAGCTCTCAACCCTCGCCCGCCCGCAGCACGTGGCTTCCTGAGCGCTTTCAAGATTTCTTACATGCCCCCGACCTCAAAACGTACCGGCATACCCAACAGCAAAGATAAACATGGTTCCTTAACCCAAAAAACCCTATACTTTTTTGAAAACCAACCCTGAACCCTAAACCGCGATCAGGGTTTACCTAGGGTTTTTGGGTTTAGGATTTAGGGGTTAGGCTTTAGGGCCCTCAAATGTTACACTCACACCAAGCCCTAAACCCCTGAACCCCACTCCCTAAACCCAAAACCCTAAACCATCCTAAACTCTAAACGCTAAAACCCAAACCCTAGACCATCTTAAACCCCAAGCCCCAAAACCTAAACCCTAAGCCCTAAACCCCAAACCCTAAACCCTAAACCCCAAACCCTAAACCCTAAACTCCGTGGATGTGACGTGTTGCAACGGTGCGAGCGTGGCCCATGCTTGGAGAGGCCTGCTGCTCATTGTTTCGGGGTTCAGGGCCCCTAAACCCTAAACCCTAAGCCCTAAACCCTAAACCCTAAACCCTAAACTCAAGACAGGGCTTAGAGCTTTAGGGCTCAGTTAGGGTTCAAGGGCTCAATTAGGGTTCAGGGCTTAGGGCTCAGGGCTCAAAATCCAGAAGCGTTGTGGATGCCAGGTTCCTTCCTGTAGGGTTTAGGGTTTAGGGTTTAGGGTTTAGGGTTTAGGGTGTAGGGTGTAGGGTGTAGGGTTTAGGGTTTAGGGTTTAGGGTTTAGGGTTTAAGGTTTAGGGTTTAGGGTTTAGGGCTGCCGTATGACGTCTTTCTTGTTCCTTGAATCATGGTTCGCCATACTTCTGCAACGGTCCTCGGATGCCATTCCCAAGCAGAGGCAAAGTGGAGTTCAGGTGGTGGCCCTAAACCCCTAAACCCCTAAACCCCAAACCCTAAACCCTGAACCCTGAACCCTGAACCCTGAACCCTAAACCCTTGCCCTAAAACCCTAAACCGTAAACCGCCCTGCTAAAAGCAAAAAGCATCTCGTTATCGACAGGCTGCGACGTGGACTAGTCACGTGAGTTTCTCAGCTCTTGTCAGAAGATCCAATAAGGGACCCGAACTCGGAACCCTAATTGCACGTACCAAAACACCCTGAATCCTACACCCTCAACCCTAAGTCCTGAACTCTGAGTCCTAGACTCTAAGCCGTAAGCCCTGAACCCTTCATCCCCATGGGACACGGGCCCCGCCACCAGGAGCGCTGCGCGCGCTGTGGCAACGCGCTGGCGCAGGATCAGAACTCAGGGGACTCCTGGGTGCGTTCTCTACTCCCTTACAGTATAGGGTTTAGGGTTTAGGGTTTTTATTCTCCTTAGGGTTTGGTATCCTGGGTTCCGGGCATTAGGGTTTAGGGCTTGAAGTTTTTAGGATTCTGGGTTCCGGGTTTAGGGTTTAGGGGGTGCGCCTTCCGGGGCCGATCCTTCATCTTGGGCAGAAGGGGCAGATGCGGGCAGGGCACTTGACCTGCAGGTGCTGAGGGTTTGATGTGGACGCAGTGTCTCATTCGGCACCAGGCAGAGGGGCGAACGTGTGGTTAGGGCTTGCGCCAGGGCCATTCAGGGCCGATTGTCTTGGGGCATCTGCATGACGGGGGTCGGAAGAGGACTTGCCGACTGATCGTTGTTGGTTCGGAGGGATCATGTTTGACCTCAAGCCAATCAGCCTATCGAACCTCCCGCAGTCCATGACGCACACCAATTTCCGCCACGATCTGAAATTCCTTTCCAAGCTCCTTAGTGGGCACGCCAATGATCGCTATCACCTGGACCTGATGTGACGATGTACACCGACAGCGACAAGCTCTTAGATTGCTTCAATCGCCAGCTGCAGCGAAAGTGGTTCTACTCCCCTTAGGCCTCAGGATTCTGGGTTCCGGGCTTAGGGTTTAGGGCTTAAGGGTGTTCTATACTTCCCAGAGGGTTAAGGATTCTGGGTTCCGGGCTTAGGGCTTAGCTCTTAGGGATGTTCTATGCTCCCCTTGGCGTTTAGGATTCTGGGTTCCGGGTTTAGGGTTTAGAGCTTAGGGGTGTTCTATACTCCCCTTAGGGTTAAGGATTCTGGTTTCTGGTTTCATTGTTGAGGTGTCGAGCTTAATTCGGGTTTCGGCTTCAGGAACTTTGTCTGATGTTAAGCGTCTTTAGGGTTTTAGGGTTGAGGTCTTCTCTCGTTTAGGGTTTAGGGTTTGGGGTTTAGGGTCTAGGGTTTAGGGTTTAGGGTTTAGGGTTTCCCCTTTGCAGGATTTCAGGGTTTAGTTTGGTTTGGGGTGTTTCTTTGTTTTGTGTTCATCATACCCAGCCATCACACCAGGACGTGTCCTATTGCCTGCACTGTGGGCTGAAGCAGAGCATGTTCGAGGCTCGGGTCGGTTCAGGCTGCGGGTCCCTGTGATGTTTTGCAGGGGTGAGGGGTACATCCGCATGTGTACTGTATTACGTACGTTTTCGTTTTTAGGGGCTTAGGGTTTGGTTCAGTATTGATTGTGCCTGCAGCTTTGGGCATGCGAATGGCGGCAGAATGGGCATTGGTGGTCCGGTAGGAGGTTCGGATTCCGGAGCCAGGCAGTACAACAAAAGCAGCAGGGCCTGTCACGTTCAGTACACTGAGCAACGCCACTCTACATCCTGAAAGACGCGAGCTACTTGAAGGCTCCCGGCTAGTTATAAGTAGTACGGGGATCTGCACCTCACTTCAGGTTGTAATGCAAGTTGCCTTGTTTACATCCCTACTTGTAGCTGCCCATGAACCTTCAACTAGGTACTCTCCAGCCTCTTCCCCGTAGACGTAGACGGCAGCGGTTTGCTGAAGTGGGCGACCTTGAACAGGGAAGCAACCCTTTTTGAGCCCAGGAGTTTGAAGATTTCCTTTCTTGGTGGGGAGTGGCAAGCAGTCTTTAGGTTTTGAGGGTTGCCGAATAGTCAGGTCTCCTACCTTCTCTTGGGCCTCAACACAACACAAGACGTTTAATCCAGTTAGGGAAAACACACTGACCTTAATAACCCCCCCGCTGAACCCCAAAACCCAGAGCCTAAAACCCTAAACCCTACAAACCTTAACCCAAAAACCTGACGCCCTAAAACCCTAAAACCCTAAACCCCTAAACCCCTCCCAAACCTTACAACCCCAAATCCCTACACCCGTGTCTAAACCCTAAAACTCCTACAAACTCCTACAAACTCCTACAAACTCCTAAAGACTCCTAAAAACTCCTAAAACTCCTAAAACTCCTAACACTCCTAAACACTCCTAAAACTCCCAAAACTCCTAAAGCCCCTAAAGCCCCTAAAGCCCTAAAGCCCAGAACCCGCGCTCCCCAGCCTTGGAGGAGTCGCCCTTGCCGTCTTTGGCCGGGCACACAGGCCTTCAGAGATTCTGTGCCATGACCATGGGCTCTAGGGTTTAGGGTTTAGGGTTTAGGGTTTAGGGTGTACCTGAAGGTTCAAGGGTAGTTATAAGTAGGGTCTAAGTGCCCCAATTAATGTTATAATATAGGCTACCTTACTTATAGCCCTACTTGTACCTACCCATGACCCTTCAAGTAAACCCTAGTTCAGCCTAAAACCCTGAACCCCTCAGACGACGAAAGCCCTAGAGCTTGGCCCTGTTACCAAAGACTGCGGTCGAGAGTTTAGGGTTCAGGATTTGGGGTTTGGAGTGTCGGGTTTAGGGTTTAGGGTTTAGGGTTTGGGGTTTAGGGTTTAGGGTTTTAGGGTTTAGGGTTTCGGGTTTAGGGTTTGGGGTTCACGGAACAATCATCCGATGCAGCTGACTTGGCGCAGGTGGATCGCCAGCTGAGCAGGACATGGTCGAAGGGGTAAACCCAGACTCTCAGCCTCGAAGACCGGTTGGGTTTAGGGTTTAGGGTTTAGGGTTTAGGGTTTAGGGTTTAGGGTTTAGGGTTTAGGGTTTCGGGTTTCGGGTTTCGGGTTTAGGGTTTGGGGTTTAGGGTTTAGGGGCTTCGGGTTTGAGATCCCTTGATTATGGTCCAAGATCTTCGTGAGGTTCCTCACAAAAAGGGTTTAGGGCTGAAAGGGTCTCGGTCCTAAACCCCTAAACCGTCCTAAGCCGGGGGCGATTACAGGACCCGGCGCCTGTCAATTTCGCCATGGACAGTATGCCCTGGGCTCAGGATTCGGGCTTCGGGCTTGAGATTCCCGGGGGTTCGGTGTTGTGAGGTTCTTGGTTCTGGTTTAGGGTCTGGAGTGTGGGTTTTGGGTTTGGGCTGGGAGAATGCCAGAGGCTCACAATTCATGCTTGCAGGTATGTAGGGCTTGCTCATTTTTACGCTCGGTTTGGGTGGGCCTTCGGGTTTAGTGTTTGGGCCTCATAGTGTTTTGTGGTTAGGGCTTCCCGGACGGCCGCAACAGGTTTTGGGGCAGCGTGGCCCCGGGTTTCATCCTCCCTTCGCCACCATGTCGCAATCTCAACTCCTCGAACCAATCTGATTTTGTGAGATTCCCTAAACCTTAAACCCTAAACCCTAAACCTTAAACCCAGAAGCCAGACTGGCAAGCGACTCCTCAAACACCCCTCAACCCTCTTTCACAGAAGACCAGACGCTTTTAAGGCCTGCAAACCCCAACGAACTCTTTAACCCTAGTTAAGATTGATTACCCATGAACCATCCTCACCCTAACCCCTAAACCCTAAACCCGAAACCCGAAACCCTAAACCCTAAACCCCAAACCCTTAACCCTTAAACTCTTAAACCCTTAAACCCTAAACCCTAAACCCTAAACCCTACCTTCAAAAGCAAGCCCTGAAGCCTGGCGCCACAGCTGCAGGCTTGCCGACATCGCAGAGCTCCCGGGTGTCGACCCGCGCGGCTACCTGCGGGGCCCGCTGCTGCCGCGAGGTGCAGGGTTTAGGGTTTAGGGTTTAGGGTTTAGGGTTTAGGATTTAGGGTTTAGGGGTTCAGGGTCTTTCCGGTTTAGAGTTTGGGGTAACCTGCATACCCTTACAAAAAGGGGCTGTGCGCCTCCTCCCGACCCCCCCCCCCCCCCCGAAAAAAAAAAAAAAGGAAGCAAAGAACCTGTTTTAGGACCTAAATGTACCCCCGCCCTGCCGGATTATGAAAGGGACTCGCGAAACCCAAGCCTTGCAGCGACTGCAACTCCCTAAGCTTCCAAGTCCCGAACCTGTAGGCCGAGTGTAATATTCCCTATATGGACCTTGTAAGGAAGGACTATGTTTTTTTTTTTTTTTTTTTTTTGGGGGGGGGGGTTCTTAAGCAAGTCGTAGTCTATGGTTAATACGGTTGAAGTTTGGGGGGAGGGTTTTGGGTGCAGGCTGTATAGTAGCCTGCCCTGTGAAGCTTCGCTTAAGTTAACCCTACCTCAGGGCTTCCCTCCTTCTAGCTTAGGGTTCAGGCTTTTGAGCATGGAACGCTGAAGGTTTGCGCTTGGGGCTGCAAGGAGGGTTTAGGGTTTAGGGTTTAGGGTTTAGGATCAGTTGGGATGTCAGACCCTGGACGAAGCGGCAGGCATATCGAAGCTGCGCGTGGTGGATATCCTCAACCTCTTTCTGGAAGGACATTATTCCCCTGGATCCCACAAGTACCCACAATCCTGGCCTGTAGCAATTAGGGCTTAAGGTTTAGAGTCTTCGAGTGCCCACAGCCCAAGGTTGTACACATGTACCAGAGACGTCAAGCCGGTTTATACAGGGTTTGTAAATGCGGTTTTATTGGGGTTTTACAGGCTTTGTAGGGTTTATCGGGTCTACAGGAAACCCTAAACCCTAAACCCTTAAACCCTTAACCCTTAAACCCTAAACCCTAAACCCTCTAGGGTTCCATGTCCGTGCACAGGAGTGGTTGAGCAGATCGAGCAACCGTCGGATGGGAAGTCAGAGGCGGCAACTGCCAACAACTCCGCCAGCCCTTGGGCACCCGAATGGGGTTCAGGGGTTTGGGCTGTCAGGGTTTTGGGTTTAGAGTTTTGAAGGTTTAGAGGTGGAAGTTTGGGGGGTTCAGGACTTAGGATTTCGGCTTTAGTGATGATTTGTGGTGCTTAGGGTTCATGACTCGTCAGCAAGCTTTCGCTTTTCAAGTATCCCGCCGCTGCGGTGTATGTGGCGGCCTTCGGTGGGCTGAATGCGCTTGTCCCCATCCAATGGAAGCCCGAAACCCTAAACCCTAAACCTAAACCCAAACTTCAGCCCCAAAATCTCAAACCCCCAGCCCGAAAGCCTCCAGCGAAGCCCTTCTAGACCTCCACACCCCATGGCCACCAAAAAGGGCTTTGGGCTCAAGGGGGGGGTTCAGGCTTTGGGTTTAGGAACCCGAACCTTACCCCCGGACATGGGAACCGGCGCATGCTCACTTCAGGAGCTTGTATGGGTTTTACGGTCCCAAAAACCCTAAACCCTAAACCTTAAACCCTAAACCCTAAACCCTAAACCCGAAACCCGAAACCCTAAACCTGATCGACTTTTAGCCGAAAGTCTTGACGATCTGGTCCTTGCTTTGGAAAGTACATGGGCCTTCCGGGTGTCAAGGGACTAAAGGAGGGACCCTTATCAGGGGCCTTAGGGAGGTATTTAGGGATTATTTGGAGGCTACTTAGGTATATAAAGACTATATAAGGGGTATATATACGGTGATATAGGGGAATAAGATTAAGGGTCCCTTGTAGGGGTCCCTCCTTATACCCCCTTAAATTGGCCTTCTGTGTGGGCTTTCAGAAGTTGCAGCTTGCGGGGTTGTAGCTCGTCAGCCTTCTTGGCGCCTCCCGGGCCGTTCCGGGCCTTTGGGGCCTCTACAGCTTAGGGTTAGAAGCCTTTCTTACTAAACCCTGAGCAAGAGAGGCAGCCTGTGCTCGCCAGTTCTCACTTTTTGAGGTTTTTTGTGAAAGAGTCGTGGTGCTGGAACTTCTATCAAACCCGGGAATTATCATCTTCACCTTTGGTTCGAGGGGTTTTGTTTGAAGGGTCTTATGGTTAGCGACTAGCAGACCCCCCAGATTTGAAAGAAAGGCGCCAAGAACCCAGGAAAGACATTTTAGCTGCAGGAATAATCAACTGACTTGGAAATTGCGGTCGTCGTTTGGCTCTTAATAAGGTCTTTTTGACCTCAATGAATGGGTGGTACCGGTGAAAGAGAATTCCCACGTAGATTAGGAAAGTACCAAAGGGCTGCCTCAAGCTCTTGGTAAATATCCGAAGAACCATACCCTGAAGCCCTAAAATCTCAAGCGCAAGGGTTGAGCCCTAAAACTCTTCTTTAGGTACATCCGCGACACCTTGCACGGGCCTGTCTCTGGCATCTTCCTCTGGACGATCTGCGATGAGCAGGTGGCCTGGTGTTGAAACGCCAAGAACCTACACAGGCTGATGAGGGTTCAGGGTTGAGGGTTTATGTCAGCAAGCCCCATAGCCCAAAGTTGAGAAACTGAGCAGCTGAGCTCCCTGCACCCTAAGTCATAAAACCTCGGTTCACCACACCCTAAACCCGAAACCCAAGGCATTGGGGCTCCCCAAATCTCTTAAGATCCGTAGTGAGCAAGCGGGATAGAAAAGCCCCACCTAAGAATTGGGTTAGAAACTTGCTTGCAGGTTCATGGGTAGGTATAAGTAGGGTTATAAGTAAGGTAACTTATATTAGAATCTGGAGCAAGGTACTTGTAACCACCCCTGAACCTCCAAGTAGGGGTTCGGATTCACGTTTTTAGTGGCAGCAGGGTGTGGGGACTCGCCGACTAGTACGGGGAGCTCTTACGAGAGGTTTAGGGTTAAGGGGTTTAGACAGACCCTTTGAATAGCCAAGAATGTCATCACAGCGGTCTCGTCTTGCCAGAACAATGGCGTCCATGCAGCAGCTGCGCAAGGGTGAATCAAGTCTAACCCCTAAACCCTAAACCCTAGACCCTAAACCCTAAACCCTAAACCCTAGACCCTAGACCCTAAACCCTAAACCCTAAGAGCTGCTGCGCAGTGGAACGTCTCAGAGTCTTGAGAGTTGAGAGCTCCCTTAAAGCCCTGAACTGAACGGCCAACCCCTAAACCCTAAACCCTAAACCCCAGAATCCTGAGCCCTAAGCCGGCTGAGCCCTGTAGGCCCTGTATGCCATGTTTTGCCCCGAGGACATCTCAACGCCTTCACACTGCTGACGCGGCAAAGACAGGGACGGGCAAGCGCTTCTGTTAAAATTACGGTTCGCTTGGGGCTTCGGATGTTGGGGTTCAGTATTTTTGGGGTTCAGGCAGCATTTGTTCAGCCATACTAGCACCCTCGACATGAACACCAAAACTTGTTCCGCCGCCTGTGTCGATATTTTGTTTCTTTCGACATGTTGGCCTGCTGTTCGGTGTGCAGGTAGCGTTTAGGGTCCAGGGTTCAGGGTTTAGGAAGGATTGCCAGGTTTTTTCCCCGCCTCTCGCCAAGGGCATCTTCCTATGCGCCCCCTCTGGCTCAGACATGCCACTTGGCCATACAACTGCAGATGCTGTCAGTTTGACTCAGCAGGAACACCATGGGGTTTCTCAACATTCGAGGTCCCCTTTGTGATGATTCTTATAGAAGGGAATATGAGGTGCCCCGAAATTAAAGCCCAACCCTGGTCACAAGATCAAGATGCGAAAGAAAAGCATGTTGTATGCGGGCAGTCCTCTATCTTTCTTTTTTTTGGAGAGGAGGGGGTTGTCCTCATTATAAGGTGCTGGATTCCAGGACCTGCAATTTATTATTGAGATCTTGTAAACAAGACCGTCTACGGGGGTCGGGGCTTAGATTGTTAAGGGCAGTCGACATCGGTATGAGCCAGCAGGCCGCACTTTCCAAGAGGGTAGCCTCCCCTGCCAATTGCGAAGATGACTTCATTACATGCATGGACATGGTCGATGTGATTAAAGGTAACCTTCTTCGTTGATCTCCAACATGCCACCGAATTGTCTACATGTACATGAACTTGAAGAAGCATACGTGCACATGCATACACGCGTGCTGCGTGCGTGCGATCTTGACAGCATCAACCGGGCTTGCGAAGGTTTAGGGATTTTCGGGGCAAGGTCCGAATTCCCACATCGCGAAACCTTCTTCATGACCTATATAGGGAGCTAGCGACCGAACTATGAAGAATCATCACGGGGGCTTGCAAGTTCCTGTTCGACCGCTGTGCATGAGGCTCACCTTTGCCAAAGAATGCGCGCAAGGGCACACCAGCAGCGAGCGCCTGGTCCCAGCTCACATAGGGGCCAATTTCGTGGGTTATGGTTTAGGGTTTAGGGTTTAGGGTTTAGGGTTTAGGGTTTAGGGTTTAGGGTTTAGGGTTCTGCAACACCCAATAGGGTAAGCTAGGTGCCTGTAGTACGTGCAGTGGAGGAGATTGATAGGAGATGAAGGGTTCGACCTTGGACGTAGAGATACTCGAGTGGCGAGGCTGGGAGGACCTAAGCCCTAAGCCCCAAACCCTAAAAATGAACCTAAAGCCCTAAGGAGCCACTAAAACTTTAAGGAAGCCCCATATTCAAAAAGTGAGGAACCCCGACATCCCTCAGGAGCCCCTGCAACCTTAAGAAGCCGTCAATAAACCCTAAGAAGGCCCCCGAAAACCCTAAGGAACCCCTGAAACCTTAAGAAAAAACAAAACACCAAGAAACCCTAAGGCTGAAGGAGCCCCAGAAGACCCAATAAAGCCCCTGAAACCTTAAGGAACCTCCAAGAAATCGCTTTGGAAGAGGCGCAGAGAACTTTTGGCTGGCAAGAGCCCTTGCTGCAGCCTGTCATGGTCATGCCGGTACCTCCTCGACATCCGCCGGCAGCTTTGCAAGGACCGCCACTTCACCTGGCAGAGGACAGCCGAGCCCTTGGCCGACCCAACGGCCGAAGAGAACTCCTCGAAAGAAGGTTTCGAGAAATCAGAGGAAAGCAGAGGATGCAGAACCCTTCGAGCGCACCGGGCGCGCGAAAGAAAGCAAAGAGGGGCCCCGCAAACCCTGAGGACTTCCTGGAGCCTTAAGGAAAACCCAACCCTAATCCCAGAAGCCGGTGCACGAAAACCTGAAACAGCCCTCTGCTCGGTTTTAGGGTTTAGGGTTTAGGGTTTAGGTTTAGGTTTAGGGTTTAGGGTTCCGGGTTCAGGGTTTAGGGTCTAGGGTTTTTAGGCTTTAGGGTTTAGGGTTGAGGGTTTGGGTTAGGGGCTTGGTGTCAAAGCTTGCCCGAAACGTCCCAACCCCGTAAGAGGTTTTCTTGAGGTTCACATACGGCAGTATTAGGTTATAGAGGGTTTATACAAAATGATCCAGCGTAATTAAGCAAGAAAGGTATAGAGCCAATGAAGCTCCTGCTGGGCTTTCGTCTCCATTCAAGCAAGCGACATCAGAAGAGAGATCCCCTCCACCCTCTGAAGCAAGCCCCTAATCGTTGAACCGTAAACCCTAAGCCAAGCCCCAAGCCCTAAGCCCGAAGCCCGAAGCCCTAAACTCCGAACCCTAAACCCTAAACTCTAGACCCTAAACCCTAAACCCTAAACCCCTACACCCTAAACCCTAAACCCTTAGGCAGCTCGGAGCTAAGCCGGCTACGAGCAGCGCTCCAGCGGCAGCAGGCCCAACCGGCCTTTTTGGGCAAAGTTGCGACAGCTGAGCTCCGACTTCGACTAGGGTTTAGGGTTTAGGGTTATTTAGGGTTTAGGGTTTAGGGTTTAGGGTTTAGGGTTTAGGGTTCAATGGTTGAGGGTGTTGTCGGCTTAGGGCTTTCAGGTTTGCCGGTTCTAGGGTTTTGCGAGATTGGGGTTTGTTCCCCCTCATACTACCAGTAGCAGTCCTTAATAGGGATGATAGTACCCCTCCTATAATCCCTATTAAGGACTGTTCGTACAAGGGGGCACATCCCAAGATCGGGTTTCAGAATTTTCGGGCTTTTGGGGGTTTAGAGTTGTAAGTCAGCTTTGCTCGGGGCTACTCCTCTTGCGCTCCAGCGGCATATGCTATACTATAACGGCTGTGCGAACATTTGGAATTATTGTTAATGTTAAGGGGTAGGACCGGGTAGGAGAGTGAAATTTGGCGAGACTAGCGATTTTGCAGCTGGCACGTGCTAGGTGGGGTGATTCTGTTTTTTCCTAGAACGCTAAACCCTAAACCCCGAAACCCGTTGAACATGAAGCCCCCTAAACTCTAAACCTTAAACCCTTGGAACATGAAGCCCCCTAAACCCTAAACCCCTAAACCTAAACTCTAAACCCTAAACCCTAAACCCAAGCTTCCATACTAGAGCCTCGCAGGCGCTGACGGCTGCGCAAGTGGCCCAGTGCCAGGAGAGAATCTGTCGACTGGATGGGGGCGGGTGTAGGTTAAGGGTTTAGGGTTTAGGGTTTGGGGTTTGGGGATTAGGGTTTAGGGTTTGGGGTTTGGGGTTTGGAGATTAGGGTTTAGGTTTTGGGGTTTGGGGTTGAGGGTTTAGGGTTCATAATCCCTCTTAGGTTCCTGTGATGAAGGGTTCGGTCATCGAAGTTTTTTGTGAGTCCTTTGATAGGGTGTAGGTTTAGGGTACCGTAGAAGCCGGAGATCTCGTGTTTCAAGGCCTTGTGTCCCAGAGGACAACGCATTGAAGCCCTAAACCCAAAAACCCGACAACCCGAAAACCCGGAAACCTTGAACCCTAAACCCTAAACCCTAAACCCTAAACCCTAAACCCTAAACCCTAAACCCTAAACCATGGCTGCAGGAGTTCAAGGACATGTCAGAACAGTCGAACAGCGAGCTGGTGCCCTCGGCGCAAGATCTGACGGAGCATGTTAGCCTCCGAGAGGGGTTTAGGGTTTAGGGTGTATGATGGAGCATGGTAGACTCCAATATGGAGGCGGGAGGGGGGGGGGGGGGGACATGAGGGTTTGGAGTTCAGGGTTTAGGGATAGGCTGTTGTTAGGGTTTGGGGTTTACGGTTTAGGGACAGGCTTTTATTAGGTTGGGGTTAGGGTTTACGGACAGGCTGTGCAGAGTTAAGGGTTTAAGGTAGTGTGTTTGGGGGTTGGGATATATTAGGGGTGCCCCTTAACCTGTCATACGGATCCTTACATGGTTTGCGAAATGATGTTCCTTATCTGAGAGGTAATGGGTTCTCTGGGAAAAGTTGATCCCAAACTCCTTAACCCTATGCCGTTAAATCCTAAACCCTCAACACCCAAAGCCAAGCGGCTCTGAGAAATCAATTTTTGTGCGTTTTGCCTGGGACATCGCACGCCTGAGCCCCGGAAAGCTTTGTACGAACCCCTTTGCACCTCAAACGAAGGTGGCTTGATTCAGGCTTTAGGTAGTTCAATGCGTCGAGCAAAAATTCTGTTTTGGGATGGACTGATTCAAACAGGGTGTTCGTGCAGGTGAGCGTTTCGGACTCTTGGGTTTAAAGTTACTTACGGGCTTTATAGGCTATTGGGGTTTGAAGGGCGTCCAAGATCTCTCAACACCCCCCCCCCCCCCCGCCCCTAAACCCTAAACCCTAAGCCCTAAACCCTAAACCCTAAACCCGAAACCCCCCCCCATGCTACGCCCGAGGTCAGTGTGGAAGGCGAGGCCCGTGAGCTGCGCGACGAGGTGGCACGGCTTTCACGGCAGACACTGGCCTGCAAACATTAGGGTTCAGGTTTCGGGTTTAGGGTTTAGGGTTTAGGTTTTAGGGTTTAGGGTTTAGGGTTTAGGTTTTAGGGTTTAGGGTTTAGGTTGGGGTTTAGGGTTTAGGGTTTAGGGTTTAGGGTTTAGGGTTTAGGGTTTAGGGTTTAGGGTTTAGGGTTTAGGGTTTAGGGTTTTTAGGGTTTAGGGTTTAGGGTTTAGGGTTTAGGGTTTAGGGTTTAGGGTTTAGGGTTTAGGGTTTAGGGTTTAGGGTTTAGGGGATCGTTTTTGTTAGCCTACGGTCCGTTTCAGTCACATAGTAGAAGCTCGGGGCCATGCCCAGGTGGTCCAGAGGTATTGCAGTACGCAGCTTTGTATGCGAATCAAAAAGGGATGAAGGAAATCTGTTGCAGTCGGACACAGTTCAGAGACGGCGGAGGTACATTCTCACGAGCACTACGCAGTACGAGCGGTGAGACGTCTGCTTGCCTGACGGCCCAGCTCTTGTTGAGTCGACTTGCTAAGTTCTGTCAGCAGTGGTCCACACACGATACGGAAAGTAATTCAGCCACAGGGAGCAATGCGAAAATAGTTAGCAGCCAAGCAACCTTCGACTTCAAATCGTGAAGTCAATGATCTTCTAGGGATCTGGAGTGGGAGCATCCTCCCACCCTGTTTCAGCTGCGATGCTCCCTCTACATGTGCAGATTCAGTCCATGCCAGCACGGATGCACTTGCCGAACAGTATCGTTTTGTCCAGCAGAGAACTACTAATAAGATATGATTTGGGTTTCCGAAAATAGGGCTACCTTTTTTTTGGGCGGGGGGTTCCTGTAATGAGGATGATAGTGTTTTGGGGGTCTAGGGGGACCCTATTTTGGGAAGTACCAGTTTGAATGAGAAGAAACATCGAACTCGGCTGACGTCCTTGGAGACTCTGGCCCCCCCATGAGCGATCGGAGGGAGCAACAGCTGCATCATTGGAAGGTTTCCACACCATCACGGCTAACAAGGGGCCACACGTTGAGAACTGGTCCAAGGTACAAAGAGGGAGCCAAAACCAGACTCTCATTGTTGGACACTGTTTAGTAGCAGGAGCTCCTCTGTAGGGTCAACTTTGCCAGGCTATTCGGGATTGTGTGAACCATTGAAAATCCGGGGACCGTGGAAACAGGGACACAAATCAGCTTCGACTGTACTAAAGTAGAGGGCCCAACACTTAACGAGTGGTCCCAAACAGCTTGCCACACTCGTGCTGAGAGTCGATGCACCAGCACACCGAGAGGCATGTTCAGGGTTTAGGGTTTAGGGTTTAGGGTTTAGGGTTTAGGGTTTAGGGTTTAGGGTTTAGGGTTTAGGGTTTAGGGTTTAGGGGGGAGAGGGTATGGCTCTGAATTGGGCTTAGCTTAGCTTAAGGCTTGCCAGAGTGAAGGTAGAGAGACGCACACAGAAGCACCTGGGGGGCCTGTCGGGACAGACTGCAGGTTTAAGGGCGGGTTTAGGGTTTAGGGTTTAGGGTTTAGGGTTTAGGGTTTAGGGTTTAGGGTTTAGGGTTTAGGGTTTAGGGTTTAGGGTTGAAGGGCCGTAGGCTTCAGGGTGAACGGCATAGGTATTCTTCTAGCACACCCTCAACACTAAACACCAACCACTGTCGCTGAACCCCGCCTTGCAAGTACCAGGAACAAGCAGCTCCTGCTTCAACTTCGGCAGCAGCGTCTGAAACATCAGCAAGAGCTGAAGCTGTGGCAATCCCGATGTGGCGACGCCGGGCAATTTTTAGGAGTTAGGTTCCGAGTTGGGTAGCCGTTCTGTCGTAGGATCCCTGTCTCGCGGACCTCTTGATAAGGACTCCTACCATAAATTGTATGTCAGTGGCCTTGTGAGAGATTTAGAGCTTGGGTCTTAACAGGAAATAAAGTTTTTTTCATGTCAGGTCCAGTGTTCGCTCTCTGTCACGGACCTGCTCACCAAAGCGCTAAATGAGCAACATGAGCTGCATCGCATGCCACACAGCTTTTCTCCTTAAACCCTAAACCCCAAACCCCAAACCCTAAACCCTAACCCCCAGCCCCCAAACCCGAAACCCCCCCAACCCCCAACCCCAACCACCAGCCAAGGAGCTCAGTGAAGTCGAGGCAGAAGAGGGCGGCACGGCCTCGAGCTTGCTGTCCTACCTGCGAGGACTGTGGCGGGGGGTGGGGGGGGCGGTTTGTGAGGTTTGGGGCCTGTGGGGTTTGGGGTTTCAGGCTGCAGGGTTTCAGGGTTTCAGGGTTTCAGGGTTTAGGGTTTAGGGTTCAGGGCTTAAATTTGGGGTTTGTTGTCACCTTTTCTGGGCAGGCTTCGGGAGTGGCATTAGGGATGTTTGGGACTTAGGGGACCAAACCTCAAACTCAAGGGTTCAAGACTCGTACCCCTAAGGTTGTATCCCTAAAGGTTTCCCATAATATTCTCTTAATATGGCCCTTATGCTGCCTTAGGGGTCTTTCAAGTGGGTCCTCAAACCCAAGGGTGCAACCGTAGGGGTCCAAGGTAGAACCCCATGACAAACAGTGCGAACCCTGCAGAGAGGCGCCTCTGAGCAGCAAGATAGCCACCCGGCAGGTTTAGGGTTTAGGGTTTAGGGTTTAGGGCTTAGGGTTCAGGGTTTAGGGTTTAGGGTTTAGGGTTTAGGGTTTAGGGTTCAGGGTTTAGGGTTTAGGGTTCCCAATGCGCTGCAAAACCTCGGGCCCATACTTCAGAACAGAAAGTAAGGGACCATATTCAGGGACCATGCAACTGCTCTTAGATCGACCTTGTGTAGGGTTGATAGCATCCATGGGCTTCACGCGCTTCGTACATGATTAGGGCGTCGGGGAGTTGGCTTCTAGGGTTTCCAAACCCTAAACCCTAAACCCTAAACCCTAAACCCTAAACCCTAAACCCTAAACCCTTAGAAGCCCCAAGCCCTAAACCAGAACAGCAACAGTCTTGGGGACTCTCTGAGCTCGCTCACAAAGAAGAATTCAAGGTGCCATATGGAGCAGGGTATATATTACTGTTTTTGGTGAGTGTATATAAGGTTCTTTTTTAATTTGGTGAGTGTATATACCTGGTGTCCTTTTGGGGGTACAAGAAATACATACCGTACTCTATATACTTCAAGGGAGGGTAGATGATCCTGAACTCCAAGAAGCCTGCTAAGGTTTAAGGAAGGGCTTATGGTGCATACGCTCTAATTTGGAGCATCATTTGGGATGGTCCCCCTTATACTAGCAGTCCCGAGTAGGGATTCTAGTACCCCGATGATAATCCCTATGAAGGAGTTGTTAGTACAAGGGGAACCTCCCAAAGGATCATACGAGTATGGCGCAGGTGGGTAGATGCCCCCAGTCGCAGAGCGCGGTTCGTGTAACCCTAAACTCGAAACCCTAAACCCTACACCCTAAACCCTAATCCCATGTAACCGCCCTAAGGGGTGGCCCTCAAGGTGGATAATGTCCGGCTTCGTCCGAAAAGTGTATTGAGACCGAAGTTGGGCTTTCGTAATTTGGGGTTTAGAGTCTAGGGTTTAGGGTTTAGGGTTTAGGGTTGAGGACTTGTCCCAATCTGGGGTTTGTGGTTTGAAGGTCGACGCTTGTACTCGCTCAATGCGTGGTGCTGCGCAGCATGTGGGTTGGTATTTTAGAACTCTGCGATTTGAAGGCTGTTTTTTGGATGCTTCCAAGGCATGTGTTGGTTTTCTTGGAATCCGGAATCCGGACTTCATGATTTGAAGTTTAACCCAACGACTCCTCCATAAACCCCAAACCCTAAAAACTCCTTGAACAAGTGTGGTTGGCTAATGCTTGCATTGATCATGCGATGTTCGACGAATCGACTGACGGCCACCCGGAGCGGAACCCAAGCAACCCCCTGCCCAAAACGTGGTTCTACTTGGAGGTTCATGGTACTAATTAACCAATTATATCTGTACTTAGAACTGCACTTGTAACCATATTCGGGCACTTAAGGGGCCTATAAGTGGGTTATAAGTACAGTTATACTTGGTTAATAAGTACCATGAACCTCCAAGTAGGACTTGAGAAAAGGGTATATATGCGGCATAAAAGCGGTCCCTAAGATAAGGTGTTTAGGGTCTTTTTGTTGGCTCACGGTTTCTCTGAAGGCCAATTGCAGCATGATCTGTCGGCTCAATCTGCGGAGACCGCACCTCGGCAAGAAGCCTGCGCATCCTCGCAGGGGTGGCATAGTGTGGGCTACAGGCCCCAAAGCGGATCTCGAAGTCTTACCTAAGCCGAGGCTGAAGCAAGCGGTTGAGGGGGTAGGGTTTGGGGTTTGGGGGGTTAGGGTTTAGGTTTTGGATTCAGGGCTTCAATCATTGGGTTCGGGCCTCGCTCAGCAGCGCAGTTCGTGCATCCAGCGTCTCCCAAAAGAGTGTGTCAACACTAGGGGGTTGGTTAGGTTTAGGGTTTAAGGTTCAGGGTAACAGTGCCTAGCGCGGGATCCCATCGTCTCGCACCGTTTGGGGCAAGGGCTTAGGGTTTTGGGCTTAGGGATTACTCATAGGGTTTAGGGTTTAGGGTTTAGGGTTTAGGGCTTAGAGCTTACTTATATGGTTCAGGTTTAGGGCTTAGTAGGGCTTAGTTAGTAGGGCTTAGTTAGCAGGGCTTAGGGCTTAGGGCTTAGGGCTTAGGGCTTAGGGCTTAGGGCTTAGGGCTTAGGGCTTAGGGCTTAGGGCTTAGGGCTTAGGGCTTAGGGCTTAGGGCTTAGGGCTTAGGGCTTAGGGCAAGAAAATTAACATCGTGGGCTCCCCCCGACTCGCAACCCCGACCTTTTAGAGCCTCCCAAAGAACCGAAGATTCTCAGAAAGCCAAACAAGCCTGCAAACCCTAAACCCCCCTTGACCCTAAACCCCGAACCCTAGATCCTACAACCCTACAACTCCAGAATCAACCCCAATACCCCAGCAGCTACCCCCCCCCCAAAAAAAAAAAAAAAAACAACAACAACAAGAAACAAAACAAGCGCCTGAAGCCTTAGGTACAGTGCATGAAGTCCACCCTGCGCAACCTCTTGCTGGAGCACTTCGGCCAAGACGGCGACCTGGCCCGGGGGGACGCTGTTAGGCTTTGCTGCCTCCAGAACCCTAAACCCTAACCTAAACCCTAAACCCTTTAGCTTGCTAGGGTTTAGGACGTGTAGCTAAGGCCCGAGGTTCAGGGCCGTATGGAGCCTGGAAGTCTTCAAGGCGGTTTAGGGTTTAGGGTTTGGGGTTTGAAGTTTAGGGTTTGCAGGCCTCAATGTCAAAGGTGTCGGCCCCAATGCAGCCACTAGTCAAGATGCCAGAGGTACACCTTTTTTCATGGGAATGTCAGGGGGTCCTTAATAGGGATTATAGTACCCCCTTTCCTCATCCCTATTAAGGACGGTTAGTACAAGGGGGAACATGCCAAGGCATAGGGGAGTATGGGTCTTCACGCCCGGACGTGACCTCTGTAGGCCTCTGAAGGCTTTAGGGTTTCGGAGAACCCCCTCAAGCGCTTAGGAACTCTGGCGCCAATTCCAAGAAGCCAAACCCTAAACTTTTACACCCTAAGCCCCTCTCAGCCCTTAGCCCTAAAACCTTTAAACAAAACCAGGATTCAGGGAGATTGCTTTAAACCTTCAAGCTCAAACCCACCCTGCACCATGATCCACCAGGGGGAAGGGAAGAACTCCCAAACCCGAAGCCCCCGAAACCACTACATGAATAAATATGCCCTTTTGAACCCAAAGTGCCCTTTGGGGTCTATGGTTTAGGGTTTCCCGCAGCCCTTCATCCTTTAAACCCGTTCTGAACCCTTTTTGGCCTTTAAACCCTTTTCAAACCCTGGCCAGAGTCGGCTGCAGGTTTCACCGACACGCCGTCTCGGCCGGGTCATGCGGAAGCCTGCGTGGCGAGACATGTGAAGCGACTCTGGACGGCCTCGCGTCTGTAGTGGCGAGGTTGGAGGGGTTTAGGGTTTAGGGGATTTCAGGATTTAGTTTTTACCTTCATGTAAGGGGTTCTTAAGAGGAGGTTAGAACGGGGTATTTTGGGGTTCTGTAAACTATAGGGTTATGGCAGTTATGGCCCATAGAGTTGGAGTTTAGAGTTTACTTGGGGTTAAGGCTTAAATTCGTGATTTGAGGCCCGACTTGTTGGGCTCCAAGGTCTATGGGGCGGCTTGCTGCCTAGGCCGTACCCTAAACACTTGTGATGTATGTGTGTATTTACATGTATGTATGTGTATATACACACGTATACATATATACAAATATTTTCGTATTTATATTTATATAGTTGCATTTTGTGTATGTAAGTATTCACACACATACTTGTACATCCTCTCTCTACTACACATGTCTCCCTCTCTCTCTTTGTCTCTATCACTCCGATCTCTCCCTCACTCTCAGAAAGTATACACCCCATATAGTATCTCGTTGTATTCTACGAGACTGTACTGCCTGTATGCATATAACCAGCGCTTCGGGCCAGGGCCTGAACCGCGTGCTTGGCGTCAGATTTAGCAACTTACATGATGGCTGCTGATCGTCGGAGTGGTCTTCCCCCAGGGTGTCTAGGTGAGGGTTTGGGTTCAGGGTTTGAGGTTTGGGGTTTAGGGTTTAGGGTACGCCAGCCTAACCCTAACGTTGTCATGGCCCGTTGAGGTTACATAATCTAAATTGACTTCAAGCATATTCTGATCTAGGTTGCTGCATACCCGTTCCCTTTTTGAATAAGGGCTTCTGGTTACAAGTTACAACGCAGAAGAACACCCATCTGAGGGGGGTGGGTGGGTGGGTTCTCGTCTCGGAGGAACCTTAAACCCCAAAAGCGACCCAAACAAAAACCTGGAATAAGGCCATAGCTGAATTCTAACCCCTGAAGTCTCAGCCCTAAGATCCTAAAATGCCCCCTCAACCCTAAACGCATGGTTAGACACGCGTCTTAATATAGGCTACCTGACCTATAGCCCTACTTAGATCTACCCATGTACCTTCAAGTAAGCCCTATATCCGCTAAACCTTCAGCCCAAGCCCTAAACCTTACACCCAAAACCCTAAACCTGAAACCCTAAACCTGAAACCCTAAACCTTAAACCTTAAACCCTATACCCTAAACCTGAAACCCCAAACTTCTGAGATCAGGTCCTGCATCAACTTTGGTCCGCCGACTCCCTGGTTGAAGATGCGGCTGCCCCGCTTGCAAGAAGAAGGGTTGAGGGTTTAGGGTTTAGGGCTAGGGTTTAGGGTTTAGGGTTTAGGGTTTAGGATGTAGGATGTAGGGTTTAGGCTTATTTCAGGTTTAGGGCTTACTCGGGCTCACGCGTTAGACGCTTAGGGTGGTTTGGGATTTTCTCTTTTTTCCGGGCCTACACAGAGCTCATGGCTTAATGTTGCACCCGGTTTAGTATCGGCCCCCGCTTTAAAGACAAACTGGCCGAATTATTCAGACACCCTGACTGTTTGGGAGTCCCTCTTTAAAGACAAATCGTCCAGGCGCCATATTCCACGCGCCGCGCCTTTAAAAAAAGACAGCCGGGCATCACTGCCCCTTTCCGCGCCTCCGACTGTCCAGGGGGGGGGGGCCCCCACACTAAACCGGGTGCCACATTAGGGGTCTTCGGGCTCTTTCTTTTGTGGGGGTGCCTTTTCGGGGTGTTTGCGTGGCCTTCTTTCCAAGACACTTAGACCTTGTTGTTCTCACCCATTGTTTGAATAAAAGAGTTAAACTTACTGAAGAACCCCTTTTTGTGGGCCAAGTTGGGGTGGGGGGAGGGGCATGCTGTGACTGGCGTTTCAGAATCAGGTTTAGGGTTCAGGGTTTAGGGTTTAGGGTTTAGGGTTTATGGCTCGTAGGGCATAATTAGGTTTAGGGCTTGAGACATGTAGAGTTCTGGGGTCTACGATGTGCAAAGTGCTTGTTGCGGTTGAGGCCCAGCCCTTCTAGCTTGTTCAGGGTTTAGGGTTTAGGGTTTAGGGTTTCGGGGTTAGGGTGTTCAGGGTTTTCAGGGTTTTGAGGGTTTCGGGTTTAGGATGGTACGAGTCGTAGGCGGGGCTTGGGGCTTTCTAGATAACTCAGTCCAAAAGCCTACTTGGTTCGAGGTTCTGCGTGGGGTCATAAGTACATTGCGTTGAGGCTGTGTGTAGGCCACCTTCACTTCTAACTCTTCTAACCCTACGTACCCCTACTTGTAACCACACACGGTTTAGGGTTTAGGGTTTAGGGTTTAGGGTTAGGGTTTAGGGTTCAAGTGGACCTGTACACCCGAACATCTGAAGGTGGAGGAGATGTTTCACAGCTCAGCCCTGCTTCGGAGGCCGGAACAGCAATCAGCTAAGCATCTATGGGGCCACGTCACCTGACACAAAACTATTTCCTGAGCCCTAAAACCCTGCACACTCCCGAAGTCGTAGCATTGCAATCCCCAAGGGCCCCTGCAAGCCCTCATCGCAGGGCCCTTCCCCCTGAATCCACAATTAGGGTTTAGAGTTTCATCCTCCTTAAACTCCTCAACTTCACGCCCATCGGATGCCATGCTCGCGCAGCCACCCCCGGCCGGCAGAGAATAAAATTCCTCGAGTCCGGGGAGTCGAGTTGAGATCTCCCAACCAGTACCCTCTGCCCCATACTGCCTTTTTCCACACAAAGGGCTTCCTTTGAAACCGATGGTTCTTCAGGTTAGGTTTTTTGGGTTTAGGGTCTAGGGTTTAGGGCTTAGGGTTTAGGGTTTCGGGTTTAGGGTTTAGGGTTTAGCTGTTTCATACAGATAAGCAATGGCAAGCACAAGAACCCTACAGCTTGATAACCCGAAGGAACCTCGAAGGAGCTGGGCCTTGCCTGAAGCCCCCAATCCCTTCGACCCCAAGCCCGTTTAGGTTTTAGGTTTTTGGGTTTAGGGTTTAGGTTTAGGGTTGAGTTTGTTGCTTACCCCCTTAGCCCGAATGCCTTAAAAACCTAGGCGTGTTCGGGACAGGTCACCGTGGTCGCCAAAGTCAGAAGATTGCAGCTGGCCTGAGGCAACTGCACGGGCTTCGGTTTAGGGTTTAAGTAGGGCTTAGGGCCAGCTCATGGTTGGAAACTTACGGCTTGTCGGGGTTCACCCTAAACGCTGCAGCTTAAACCACCTGGTTCTTAGTAGGGAATGAGGGAATAATGGCCCTATATATACCCTTTACTGGATTATATAGGGTACCTCACTCCCTCATTCCCTACTAAGATAAGAACCCGCCAGTAAACCCTAAGCCACCTAGAGTCTAGCCTTGCTGTAGCGGCTTTTTGTCCGCGGCCGTCTTGCCCCGAATCCTTCTCCCTCGGATTGTGGTTCTGCGGACGAGTCTACACCCTGACACACCTTTAAAGCACCTTTGCAAAGATAAAAATCCCCAGCAAAAGAAGGAATTTATAATCTTTTCTGGTCTTTCTCAGGGCACAGAAACTACTCCAGGGGTTTCGGGGGTTGGGATTTAGCTTCTTGAGACCGCTCCTTGCTCACCCCTAAACCCTAAACCCTAAACCATGCTGACTTCAGAAGCGTTGCAAGCCTGAGCCCACCTCCCTGCTGGAGGTGGCAACCAGGGCGGAGACGCAAGTCACGAACTTCCTGGAGAAGATGGAGAGGTGCTTCTGGGCTTCTGGGGCTCGGGGGACTGAGGGCACTGGGGGGAAGGTTATATGGTCCCCTACCTTCTTTAAAGGCTTCTGAAGTATGGGCCCTTGGGTTTTATTGGGTGTATGAGGGGTATATAATAAGGGTTCTCAATAAAGTGTTCATGTTAAGACCATGAAACTACCCTAAGAGCATGGGACCTGTGCTTGGCGTGGCTTTGAGTCTCGCGACAGAGTGCCCCCTGCCTTGACGGCTTCATCCTTAGAGGAGGACGAACGAGCCCCAAAAGCCTAGGGTTTAGGGTTAGGGCAGTATGCGGAATCAAAAAAGGGTTAAACTAGATCCTCGCCCTAGTTCTTGTGTCGGCCATAAGACAGAGGTTTTCCTATTACAGGAAACTGAACGGAAGACGGGGGAAGAAGGGTTTCCTACAACCATATAGAGAAATTAGAGGAAGAGTTTAACATAGGAAAATGACATGAGAGGTTTTCAGGTTAATACATATATATATATATATGTACATACAGGAAATGGAGGCAACGCTATAAATATATATATATATATACCCGAGATAGATGTTCCCTATGGACATGCAAGGGAAGTCGGTTCTTTTTCAAGACATAGAGAAAAATGTTTTCCTATCAAACTTACAGAAAGGGCTGGGTTGTGTTTAACATGAGAGAGAATGAGCGTTATTCCGTTGATTTTCTTCTGTCCACGCTGCCCCATGCCTCCTCACCCACACCTGCAGCAGAAAAAGAGAACGCGCCCCGGCACCCGCAGCAAAAACAAGAACATGCCCCGCACCCGCAACAAAAACACACCCGCAACGAAAAAAACACTCTTGCCGGCTTAGGGTTCATCGGTAGTCAAAAGTAGGGTTATCACAAAGGTAAGCTATATTGTAATGTTAATTGGGGTCCGTATTATAACCCTGCTCATAACTTCCCCTGAACCTTCAAGTAGGGACCCCACAAGCACGAGAACCTCCCTAAACACTGTACACCCTGCACTACTGTCAACCCTATATAAGCCCTCACCCCATCCATAAACCCTCTCTAAACTTCGGCATCTCAAGAGACTGGGAGGCATGGATGTCGGGTTTGGGTTTAGAGTTTCGGGTTCAGGGATGTTCAGGGTATAAGGATGTTTAGGGTTTAGGGTTTGCGGTCTCTCTCTGTCCCTACTTGTTGGTTCTCTCTCTTGTTCTCCTTCTCGCAGGCTGTCCGCTCGCAGCGGAGACCGTGACGGTTCCGAGTCACCAGTCTACCGTGCCTGCGCAGGATCAGAGGTCGACGTTGATGAGAGTTTGGGGCTCAGGGTTTGGGGTTCAGGGTTTGGGGTTTAGGGTTTGGGGTTTAGGGTTTAGAGTTTAGGGTTTAGAGTTTAGGGTTTAGAGTTTAGGGTTTTGAGTTTAGGGTTCGGCGACTTCCGGCACCTTGAAATATGGAGAAGCTGGCCGAGGAAGCTGGGGGATGAGGTATTCCATCCAGGGCTTAGGGGCCTCTTCGAGTTAGAGTTCGGGGTTTGGGGTTGGGATGTTCCCCTTACACTAACAGTCCTTCATAAGGTTTTAGAATCAAAAAAAAAGCTACAATCCCAATTAAGGACTGCTAGTTTTTAAGGGGGTAGCATCCCAAGTTTAGGCTTTGATTTTCCTTTTTGGGAACCTGGGTGTCAGGATTCCAGTTGGGGGTTCCGGCTGCGCCCAAAACACTTCGGTTTTCGGGTTTAGGGCCTAGGGTTTCGGGTGCCCTGACTCCTAAACCATACAGAAGGGCCTGCCATTGGGCTTACGTTTTTACATACCATATTTCTATGTACCAACCATACCACCTCCCAAGACTATTAACCCAAAATACAAGCAGCCTTCACTCATTTTGAAACAGCACCACCCCCCCCCCCCCCCCAAAAAAAAAAAAAATAAACATACATATATATATATATATATTGAAGAAAATAGAACAAAATCATAAAACTAAAACAGAAATACAGAAATACATACTTAAAATAGTTTAACAGATTGAAGGTCATTTAGGTTTAGAGAGTTTAGGGGTTTAGAGGTTATGGTCAAAGGTTTAGGGGTGTACTGGTTCATGTTTAAAGCTGGTCGGCATCTGCTCTGATCAAGGTCTGTTCTGGAGCCGAGTAAAAAGAAAGGCGTAGAAACCCCATCGGCGCTTTAGATCCTATAGGCTTCTGATGAGTTAGAAGGGTTTAACTTTCAGGCTTTTGCTGCGGAAACGTAAACCTAAACCCTCAGCCCTCAACCCTAAGCCCTAAACTTCTTCACATCGCAATTCAGGTGGCCCGGCAAGGTCACCGCCAGCGAAGGCTCACGAAACACGAAGCATACCAGCACGACGTAGCAATCTTGAAGCAGCAGGTTTGGGAGCTTGGGTTTGAGGGTTAAGGGTTTAGGGTTCAGGGTCGACCAGACGTTAGTCCCTAAACTCGATAGCTCGACTTTGCCTAGAGCAGCTCGGTACTTAAAGAGGGGTTTAGGGTTTAGGGTTTAGGACTAAACCCTAAGCCCCAAACCATTTAGGGTTTAGGTTTTGCCGGGCAACAGGTTCAAGGGCGTCAAAAGCTAGCGCTTTTCGAAGCTCGAAGGGCTGAATCCCTCGAAATCATCGGCTAGAAGGTCCCCAGTGGTGCTTTAGGGTTTAGGGTTTAGGGTTTAGGGTTTCGGGTTTAGGGTTTAGGGTACGCTTTTGCTCGTTTTTGTTTAAAGAAAGGGTAACTATTTACAACAACGAATTTATCTTTTGTCTCGGCAAAGGTGTATAGCTTACTTGAGCTGGCGAGGGAGCGTATTGCGGGTTCTTAGTGGTACCCTTTTGTCCCGTTTTGGTTCAAGGTTCCCTTATCAACTAACCACCCCAAAAAGGGTACCCTTGTTACGGTATGGTTTCTGGGCTACGAAGCCTTACAAGACACCAAAAGCCCTTTTTTTCCTTCAAAATGTCAGAACCCCCCGAAACCCAAATGCACCCAAACCCTAAGCCCTAAACCCCAAACCCTAAACCCTAAACCCTAAACCCCAAACCCCAAACCCTATACACATCACTTGCAGGAACCCTCAGCTCGCAGCCCCGACGGCGGAGGCAGCAGTATGGGGGGGCATGCGGGGTTTATGCTAGAGCCCAGTTGGGAAGTTTCCCTTTTGAATATAAAACCCTAGGAAATAATAAAATAATTGTTATTAAGGGTCTATCTGCCGCTGTTCACTTTCTAGGGTGTATAGGTTCCCCGAAGAATTAAAAAAGAACCTTTGAACCAAAAGGGCTACTTTTTTGATTCCTGGGTTACTCTTGAGCCTAGGTTTGGGGATTTGGGATTTGGGGGCTTGGGGTTTAGGATGTTAGGGCTTAGGGCTCAGGTTTTGACCCTAAACCCCAAGTTTATGATTTAGGGCTTAGGGTTTAGGGTTTAACCCTAAACCCTAATCAGTCCGTTGATTTTCCAACGCCAACATGTCCTACTTCTCGGAGCTCATGTCTGACATTTAGGCATGTCTAACATGCCCCGAATAGACCTCCCAAATCTCGATATGCCTAGTCTAGTATTATTTAGAGCTCGGGTTGTACCTAGTTAGGAGAGGGCCGGTTAAGTGTTTTCCTTACTTGATTAGGCCTGGGTAGGAGGCTTTGGGATTTAGGCCGTCAGGGTGCAGGACTTAAGCTTTGGCGTTTGGAGATTTAGGTCGTGTTCGAGTTGGGATTTCAAGGGGCCACGGAATAGCCAGCGCCAGCCCTGAGCGAACCCTAAACCTCTGAAGCCTATAGGACCTTAACGCCCTAATCCTCAACCCCTGAACACTAGATCCTAAATTCACCACACTCATGAAACATGCGGCCTTCCACTTGGGAAGGAGCCTTTGATTCTCCCGGCTGCTGCGCGAGCCCAGCTGGACTGCTTTTGCTTCAGGGGTTAGGTTGCAGGCTGTGAGGTCTGGAGGTCTAGAGGTCGAGAGGTCTAGAGGTCTAGAGGTCTAGAGGTCTAGAGGTCTAGAGGTCAAGAGGTCTAGAGGTTTAGAGGTTTGAGGTTTAGGGTTCACTTGCACCCACCCCAAGCCTTACTAAGGGGCATAAAGGTACCTTGTTGGAGGTTTGGGGAGCCACATGGTCAGGCACCCCACTTGGAGGTTTTTGGGTAGATATAAGTATTACAAGTACCCTAATTTGAGGTTATAATATCATAGCTTACGTTACTTCTAAGCCTACTTGTATAGCTCTCGAAATTAGGTTCTATGTTGGGATCCCTTGTTTAAGGGAGCCGCCTGAATATGTGTACCCAAAGGGACCCTAATTTAGGAAACCACCCACCTAGAGCTAGCCGTGAACCTTCAAACCCTAAACCCGAAACCCTAAACTTAAACCCCAAACCCCAAACCCTAAACCCTAAACCTCAAGCAAGCATCGCCTGGTACCGTTGAGGATCCCCTGCGCTGGTATCGGCATCTCGGCATGTCCACATGGGGGTTTCGGGTTTAACCCTAAACCCTAAACCCTAAACCCTAAACCCTAAACCCTAAACCCTAAACCCTAAAGGGTTTAAAGGGGTAACCATATGGGGGTTTCCGAAATTTGGGGTACCTTCCTGGGGTCCTTATAAGAGGGAATCCTGCTAGTTGGGGGATTGGGCGTCCCTTGTTGTCGTAAACCCCCGTATGGCCTCAGGTTGACCCAATGTAGGGTTTACGGGTTGAGGAGGCTTGGGGAATCAATTTCGTGGCATCCTAGCTAGACACTCTGGTCTGAGTATACCATCAAGGCTGCGCTCTTGCCATCGTGTCATTACACATCGTGGCCGGTGACATTCGCATGTATTCTGCCGTCAGGCAGTTGCGCGTAAGTGTTGGATGATGGATGGTTGAGCACCGTCCGATGTACTTCGATGTCAACAGCCATATCGTAGCAAGAGGCGTGGTAGGGTGCAACACCTCGGCGTGGAGCAGATGCTGCAATTACGCTCGGCCCTTGTAAACCCTAAACCCGAAACCCGGCCCTTGTAAAACGCAAGAACTCAAGCCTGAAATCGCCAGCCCCTGGCGGGGCTCTCGATTTAGAGTCCAGGGCGTCGGGCTTCGGGTTTAGGGCTTGAGGGTTTCGATTTTGGGTTTCAAGGCGCGGATGGAGCCAGAGAGGTGTTGATTCGAATTGAGATGTTCTAGAGCTTAGGGTTTCCCTCTCCTCTTTGTTATTCCTCTCCTCTTTGTTATTGTTATTCTTTCTTCTTCTTTCTTTTAGGTAAAAACGGCTCCCCCCCCCCTCAAAAAAACACACACACACACACACACACTCGCACACTATAAACTATCAATTGACTCTATGCAGGTCAAGATGTTATCTGTAGGAAAGTGCGCATCAGGGTTCGGTCGGTGTCGGTATGTAGTGGGGCTTCTCTAAATTATGTGCCCCCGTTCCGTATTAGACTGGGAACCCTAGTTCAGAGAATCCCTCCGCCCCCCCCCCCCCCCCCCCCCCCCCCCATATCTACAATCCCATATACCTGGGAGGACCCTCAACACTTTGAGAACACTCTGCACCCTCTTCAACACCACGTTCCTGGGAGAACACAGGGGTACCCTGTTTTGCTGCCTAGTTAAGTTTTTCTGAAGGCTCCTAAACCCTAAACCCTAAACCCTCAACCCTAAACCCTAAACCCTCTAAACCTCCTAACCCTAAACGAGGAGAATTAGTAGGCCCTCGTTCTTGACAGTTTGCATCAGCGAGGCATCCCCTGTCTCCCCTGCTGAGCCCTCTCGGCGTCCTGCGCCGAGCGAAGGAGCTCCCACACAAGGCGTAGGGTTTAGGGGTTTAAGGGTTTAGGGGTATAGGGGTTTAGGGTTTTAGGGGTTTTAGGGGGTGTTTTAGGGTTTAAGGCTTTAAGGGTTTAGGGCTTAGAGGGTTTTGTTTGGTTAGGGCGGTGAGGATTTGGGGTTGGGGGCTCAAAAGAATTCAGGCGGACTTGCTTGCAGGGTGTTGGGACCTTGTCGTTGGGCTTTCATGGTTGAAGGTTCCGAGCACTCACTGTGCACCAGCATCACAAGTCTTCGCCAGCGCAGGACCTCTGAGTAAGAGCATCCCCCAAAAGGGGATCATCATGTACGTAGACATAGTCCCATGTGGATGTTTCCGAATTGAGGTTCCTTATGGGGGGGGTCCTTACTATCAGGGAATCCTACTGTTTGGGGGTCTAAGGTAGGGGCCCATTGTTTTCGTAAACCCTCGGGCGCTGTGCCGAGTTTGCTCCCCCTAGAATCCTGTAGCGGCGCATTTCTCCGAGCCAGGGTCCCTCGAAAGATGTTTAGGGTTTAGGGTTTAGGGTTTAGGGTTTAGGGTTTAGGGTTTAGGGTTTAGGGTTGTGAAACGGAACCTTCAAGAAGATGTCCTGTTTCACACAGTGCCCACATTCAAAAGCCTATGCCGAAACCCTATATACCTCAAATACCCTGGCCCTGTATGCCCTGTATACCATATAAGCCCTATATACCCAGTATGCCCTAAACAGTCCCTAAACCCTAAACCCTAAACCCTAAGCCCTATAGTAAGCCCCAAACTCCAACCCTAAGCCAGGCCACCACCGCACGCAGCGCACATTGCCCACGCGCCCGGCTGCGGGAGGCCAGTCTTGTCATGCCTCGATACTTATGCGAGGATGCCCAGGTATGCCCTTATTCCTTTTTTTGATTTTTTAATTTCATTTATCTTTTTTTTTGGGTGGGTAGGGGGGGGGTAAGGTTCCCTGCAAAACTCCCTTAAACCCGACAAGGACACAAACTACCCACCACACGCATTTTTTAATTGCACGGGCCCGAAGCCCTAAGCCCTAAGCCCTAAGCCCTGAGCCTTATAAACCCTAAACCCTAAACCCTAAACCCTAAACCCTAAACCCTAAACCCTAAAAACCCTCAACCTATTCTAACTGCACTTACGTGCACGGCATCGTTTGTTGGGGCGGCCTGTTGCTGAAGTCCTTGTTGTGAGTTTTTGTTGCCCTTTTGGTGCTCGGATGATGGTACGGAGCCGTGTATGTAGGGGAACCCAAAAGGGACCAAAATGTAGGGAACTGGCGCCAAGGTTTAGGGTTTAGGGTGTAGGGTTTAGGGTTTAAGGTTTAGGGTTTAGGGCTTAGGGTTTAGGGTTTAGGGTGGTTAGCACTGTTTGTCACGAAGTTCCTTCCATCTTCCACAGCGAGAATGCGGGATTTTCCTCGCTTGGAAGCTCACTGCCTTTAGAAATGCTGTGGTAAGTTCCCGAACCCAGACCCTATATGGTCAGTGCTAGAAAATGTTGGTTCTTCTCTAAACCCGAAACCCTAAACCCCACGTAAACCCTGAACCCTAAACCCGAAACCCTAAACCCTAAACTAAACGGGGCCGTATTCTAGCTTGGTCTCCCAAGCCAGACCCCAACTTAGAATGCCGGCCGTAGAAGCCCTGAGCATCTCCAACCTCCGGCTTCAGCAGCGTCCTAAACCTCGACGCCCTAAAGCCTGAACCCTAAACCCTGAAGACCAGGATAATTAGAAATTGTATGTGGTATCATCGTGAATATCCCACGTTATTTGTCTGTCTAAATGAATTCAAAGCGCCTTCGGAAGGCCAAATACTCAATTTGTGGGTTCCAAGTTATTTGTCTAAGCAGCTGAGGGGCAGAGCCTAAGTAAATGTATTTAAAGTGGTTGTATCATTCTAAATATCCCAATCCAAAGCGCACCAGCCCTCGCCGCCAGCAGCCGCCTGGCCCCCCAGCCCAGTCCCAACCAGCCCCCCCTCAACCCAGCCCCGGCCCTAGCCCCAGCCTCAGCCTAGCCCCAGCCTCAGCCCCCCAGCCCCAGCTGCAGCCCCGGCCCCAGTAAAAAAACAAAAAAGACTTTCGGAAAGCAAAAAAAAAACTCGCTCAAAACTTTTGCCCAAAACCCGCCCAAAACTCACCGAAAACTCCGGACACAAACCCTATACAATTTCTATGCCGAGAGCAAAGAAATCGCACGAAACCCGTCCAAAACTTTCGCCCCAAAACGGAACCCGCCAAAATTGAGGGGTTCGGGTTCAGGGCTTGGGTTCCTGAAGCCACCCTGGCCCAGAATCCAAATCTAAACCCCCTCAACCGTGAACATCCCTCTCAGGGGAGCAGCGTCCCACCACGCCGTCCTTCGGCTCCCTCCTTCGGAGTGAGGAGAGGAGCTTGTCTCCCCAGGCCCTGAACCCTGAACCCTGAACCCTAAACCCTAAACCCAAAACCCTAAACGGCCCTAAACCCTAAACCGCCCTAAACCCTAAACCCTAAACCCTAAACTCTAAACCCTAAACCCTAGGGCTTCGGGACTCAGGGCCTTGCTTCTTGGAGCATGACGCCTCGATATGTGTAACTGGCTGCATTTACTGCGGGCCAGAGGAGTTCTAGGCTCTTTTCACGGGATTCTGTTTAGGGTTTAGGGTTTTTGCTCAGGAGGGGGTCATCATACAGGAAACCCATAAGGGGCCATAAATTAGGGAGCCCCCTACTCCCCCCCGCCCCCACGCAAGTCCAACGTTGGCACAGCAAGTTGGCCGCCTACCACGGGAAGTAAGCTAGGAGCCGATGTTGGATAGAATGCTGTTTTGCCCCCTATAATTGGATCATTTGGAAGAAAGTCTGTTTCAGTGGTGACTTCGGTCGATTCTACTTGTCTAGTCCTGGCAGTCTAGAGTTTTGTGGCTTCGAGTTGCGGTTGATACAGTGCTGCCCTTTTCCTGTCGGTTCGTCTGCAACCCTAAACCCTAAACCCTAAACCCTAAACCCTAAACCCTAAACCTAAAAACCCTAAACATACTTGATCAAGTTGGGCTCACAGATGCTCATGCTTGCAGCTGTAGGGTAGAGTCATTCGTGCAGCTTGGCTTACACCACATGGCGCATGAGCCGCATGAGGCCGACCCGACGTCTCTGAAGGGCATGCTGCTGGAGCATTTGGCTTCTGTCGGACTTGGTCAGCAGGCTCTCGAGGAAGTTACGAGGGCTCTACAAGCCTCGGAGGAATCCGCGCTGACATCAAATCTGACAAGGGTGTACAAGTGTGCGATGGAGGGCCAGCTTTGTGTTCGCGCGTCCTTGCTGAGTGGACGTGAATGCTCCGTTTTGGTAAGCCCTTGGACTACCGTTGCACAAGCTCAAGCCCTGCTGACATCTGAACTGGGTGTTAGCAACGAGGGTTATAGGTTGGCAAGTGCCAAGCAGGCTTTGTATGAGGAGGATTTTATCGGGATGCACTTCTCACCGACAAGTCCCCCCCTGTCGCTTGTCCGCGAGGAGGAGACCTTAGCAGCACTCGAAGCCAGACTTGCACGATGCTCCCCGACCGTTCGAAAGCAGGTCATCGGCGAGATGCTCTACCCCAAGATTGCCGAAGTACAGCCGAAGCTCGCAGGAAAAATCACGGGCATGGTACTAGAGATGACCGATTCTGAGTTGATAGTACTACTTCGCTCTCACCAACGGCTTCTTTCCACTGTGGACGAAGCCTTGAGAGTTCTGCACGCGGCGCGATTGGATTAGTGTCAGATGGGCAGACTCAGTGCTGACACAATACTGACACTGAAGCAAAAATTGAGGAGGGGATCCTCTTGGCTCGGCTTCTCTAGGGCTTAGTTTTGGTTTTTGAATAGGGTTGAATTGAAAAAGGGTGTTAAACCCTAATGAACTACCCTGAACCCCAAGCCCGAATAAAGCCCATGCCCCAGCCGAAGTCCATGATGACCCATAGCGCACCCCCTCAAAGAAATGTCCAATCTTTTACCCAACATCGTGTTCCCCCTAATGTTGTCCAAGTGCTAGGCTGCCCATGACGGACCTCAAGAAGTGCCTAAACCCCAAACCCTAAATCCTAAACCCTAAGCCCGAAACCATAAGTCCTTTGAAGCCCGGGCCTCACAGCCCTAAACATTGAGGCCCTCGGGTCTTGTGTTCGCTAGGATACCCAGGGTTGCCTTGAAAAGTCCATTTCGCGAAGAAAAGGGTGCACTTGTCGGTTTCTGAAGTACGTACCCAGCAAACAGTAAACCCTCTTTCCTTGTGTGCAAGCTGCTGGTGCTCGGGTCAGGCCAGCTGTGGGGACGCAGCGCGAACACGTGTTCGTCCTGCACCATCAGTTCCGGCAGCACCTCGGCCAAACCTTGTATTCCAAATCAAACCCTAACCCAAAGGCTCCAAGGGCTCGTACTTAAAGGCTGTTGGAGCCGAAAGACCATACTCCCTAGGCCCCAAACCCTGCACATGCTCCAAGAGTAAGCTCTGAGCCCTGAACCCTAAACCCTAAACCCTAAACCCTAAACCCTAAACCCTAAACCCTAAACCCTAAACCCTAAACCCTAAACCCTAAACCCTAAACCCTAACCAGGCTTCCGGGGCTTCCAGGAAAGTTGGAAGACATTGCTTGAGTCTACGGCCTAGAAAGCTTCAGTTCTCCGGAGGCTTAAGGTTTGGGGTACCCTAAACCCGAAACCCGAAACCCTAAAACCCTAAACCCTAAACCCGAAACCCTAAACCCCAAACCCTAAACCCTAAACCCTAAAAGGCTCACCAGGACCCTCATCGTGCCAGAATGTGTCTGGGCTCCAGCACCTTCAAGCCTAGGACCCGGAGTAGGCCCTTATTCCCCTTTTTAGGGTTTAGGGTTTAGGGTTAGGTTCCCTTCGAAGTCCCTCAAAACCCAAAAGGGCACGATTTTTATACCTAGGTTGCTCTTGGGTCTAGAAACAGAGAACTGCAACAAACCAATTCACTGCGCCAACATGTGCATGAAGTTCGCTTCCTAGATGAGGCTTGTTCTAAACGAGGGCGCCCATTCTGGATACTATAGTGGTCGGAATAGTTACGAGTAATTAGTATTCCCTTATGGTCCGTATACAATGTTTACTCCAAAAGCCCCCCCGAAACCCTATTCTATCTATGAAGGCCCCTACATGACACTTTTGACCCTAAACCCTAAACTCTAAACCCTGAACCCTGAACCCTGAACCCTAAACCCTAAACCCTAAACCCCAAACCCTAAACCCTAAACCCTAAACACAGACGGCAGCCCCGCAGCGACCCATCTTCTGCTTTACGTGCGCATCGCAGATCCTGGCGGCTGGGCCGGTACTTCAACGAGCTGTGCCCCGCATCTTGGCGGATCAGGAAACAGGGTTTAGGGTTGAGGGTTTAGCAAACCTTAAGCCGAAACATCGTATCGCCCATGTCCTAACTCCTAAGCCTCAACCCGGGATGCCATGAAGATCGCCGATGTCCTAACTGCTTGGCCTAAACCAGGGATGCCATATCATGAAGGTGGATCCTTTCAGGCGCTCTAAGAACTTCGAGTCCACCACAAGTCATGCATGCACCCAAAGTTTCAAGATGGACCGCGCGTCGTGAGTAATATAGGGGCATACATGCTCCGCCCGCTGGTTATCCGTGCAGGCGCCCGCCCTGCCTCCGGCGCAGCCGAGCAATCTGTTAAGCCAAGGACCAACTTTAGACTGTAGATCCGGACTGCAAGATAGATACGAGGGCTTACGAAAATAAGGCACCCCAAATATAGACCCCCTGATAGTAGGATTCCCTTAAAGGATGGACCCCCTAACAAGGTACGTGTCCCTATTCTCCGGAAGTCCCCATATCTTTAGCCTTTTCATTTCGGGCCCCGAGGTGCCCTAGCATGGTCACAGCTTGAGGGTTTAGGAAGTGGTCCTGAACCCCTGCAAAGGTTATGAGCTCTGGGTTCACAGTGGGTTTAGGGTTTAGGGTTTAGGGTTCTTAGGGTTTAGGGTTTAGGGTTTAGGGTTTAGGGTTTAGGGTTTAGGGTTTAGGGGAGCTGGCCGGCGTGGCGTGTTGGCTGCACTGCGAGCGAGGTAGGCGCAGGCTTGCTCGCTTAGGACGTAGGCTTTGTTGTTCGCTACGCGCTTTGAACCCTAAGCAGCGGTGGTGACGTCAACTGCCTTGCGATTCAAGCCCGTGCTTGATCTTTCGCATCGCAACCCCAAGCCTTAGGCTCACAAGAACGCCAAAAACTGTACATAGCGTAGGATTTCGGGTTTAGGATTTTGGGTTTAGGGTTCAGGCTGGGCAGAGGTGATCTTGAGCAAGAGTTCTTAGAAAGCCTCAGGCTTAAGGACAACCATGCGAGGGCCCAACCCCAAAGTGAGCCATCTGTCTCCAAAAAGAGCCTCTTGCGTAAACAGGTCTTAGGCTTCAAGGGTGTCACAGGCTCAGGGCTTGAGGTTAAGGATTTGGGTTGGGATGTGTCCCCCTTATACTAGCAGTCCTTAATCGGAATTATGGTACCCCCTTATTCTACTCCTTATCAAGGACTGTTAGTATAAGGGCGAACATCCTAAACATTTTGGGGTTTGGGGGGCCCGCAAGCTTTGTAAGACCTCTTCGATGCCACCAGGAGGCAGCGCTCCCCCGACACGTCGCTCTCCCCGCGGCTGCCAGGGCCGATCGCCGGCTTAGGGTTTAGGTCTTAGGGTTTAGGGCTTAGGGTTTAGGGCTTAGGGTTTAGGGTTTAGGGTTTGGGGTTTGGGGTTTATTCAGTCAGCATTTGACCTCAAAAATCTTGGGCTGTTCCCCCCCCCCTTGTACTAGCAGTACTTAGTAGGGATTAGAATGCCCCCTAGTAATTACGGACTTAGTATAGGGGGAACATCCCAACCTCAAACTAATTTCGAAAGTCTAAACACCCCATTCCAGAATTTTCCACCGTTCTTGGCATCCTAGCCCCCCCACCCAACTCCCCCCCGCCCCCCCCCCCAGAGCCTTTGACCTTCTAAAACCCTGAGTCGGATGTTCAGATTTGGAATAAGCAAGTTGCAATCTGAAATCTCCGTGAAACCCTTGCTGCCAGTAGGATGCCCAGCGTTCGCCCTCCTTGTCTTGAAAGGGGGTTAGGTTCCTTGTAGAAGCCCTATTCAACAATGGGTACCCTTCTTTTCCTATGCATGTCTTACTGCTAAATGAGCCCTGTTCCCTAAAGCGTCGGCGCAGCAGATGTCGCTCCGTCGGACCAGAGCTGACTGTGCGCAGAAACAACCCAGAGACTCCAATATCCCTGAATTAAGGAATATACCTTAAATCATATTAGGTATCCCTAATATGATTTAAGGAATACTCCTTAATTAAGGGATATTGGAGTCTCTGGGAATGCTAGAGGGCCTGCTATCCCCCCACGATATCAAGCTCCACCAAGAATTGGCCCTGGGTATACCGGTAAGACACCTACGTTCAGGCATTTTCTACTGGGGAGCCCACTGGTACCCTTGTCCGGCCCTTTTCCCCTTTTTTGGTAACTAACCCAACAATGGGGTACCCTTATTATGATATGGGGTTTTCGAAAATATGGGACCCCTACTATAGACACACAAACAGTAGGATCCCCTTCTCACAAGGACCCCGAGAAGGTACCCCTAATTTCGGAAACCCCATTTTATGGCTATCCCTAAACCCTGAACCCTAAACCCTAAACCCTAAACCCTAAACCCCCAATGGTTACTGGGCTGCCAAGTCTACTTGCAACAGCCCAAGCAAGGAAGCCGCCTGGTAGCCGGGAGGAGAAGACACAGGCCGGGTTAGAAGGGTCAAAAGGGTTTAGGGTTTAGGGTTTAGGGTTTAGGGTTTAGGGTGCAGGGCTTCTAAGGTGTGCTCATTCGGAACCTTGCCAGCTTCAACGACGAGGGTGGCTTAGGTGGCTGATAGGGGGCTCAGTGTTCATGGGTTTTTTCTTAGGGTTTAGGGTTTAGGGTTTAGGGTTTAGGGTTTATGAGGTCTATGAGGTTTATGAGGTTTATGAGGTTTATGAGGTTTATGAGGTTTTTGGATCCAGTTTGGGTCCAGGCTCAATCCTGGAGAGGAGAAGTAGCGACGCTACAGCCTGCCATCGAGAGGTGTTGGCGATGAACGTAACAGTAATCGCAATAAAATATGATGATAGAGGGGCTAAAGGTAGTTTGAAAGTGTGAGCATGTTTAGGCTGTATTGTTACTTGTATTACCATGCAGCTACAGTTTGTTCTTGCGTGATCTTCCAGACGTTCAGGTCTAAGGCCCCTAAGCCCTTAAACCCTAAACCCTGAACCCTTGAACCCAGCTGCATACTAGAAGGCTCTTGCCTTAGGGGCTGAATTCGCATGAGAGGAGGGCTTGGCTGAAGCCCTGAAGCCGAAATACTGAGCCCGCAGGAGCCTCCTGAGCCATCAACCCAAAAGGGTTTAGGGTGTAGGGCTTGGCATTTAGGATTTAGGGTGTAGGGTGTAGGGTTTAGGGTTTAGGGTTTAGGAGTAGGTTTTAGACCCAACCCTCCTGAGCCACAAGGCAAGACAGTCGGCGCGACCGCGCAGCCTCTCGCCTGAGATGTCGAAACGCGCATCCTGGTTCTGAGCTCCCAAGTGTTGTAGTTCGGGTTTAGGGTGTAGGGTGTAGGGTTTAGGGTTTAGGGTTTGGGGTTTGATCTGAAGTTTGGGTTGCTGGGTACACCTTACATGAATCCTAATACCCAGAACCCTAGCCCCTTGATTCCCTAAA